TTTAAAAATTGTAAACTCTCTCAAGAATAAGCCAACAAATTCAATTTATTTCCCTGATTATACAGAAGGATTTGCAGTGACATCATCAAAATCTTCAAATTACGTAGGTTGGACTTTAAAACTGATAGGTCCTATTTTTCTATAAAAAATTTTACAACCCAAAAGCAATTACTTGCCGACTGACCACCTACGTTTTATAATTCTACACTACCGATTGGTAACTTCAGGCATTTTAAAATACGATTAAGGAAGTAATAGTGTACTATAAAGCTTGTGACATTAGGCAATATCGTGGCAGTCCGCACATGATGCACATATGCCAACAAGAGACGGATAATTGCAGTCCTAAATAACAATGGGAAGTGAGCAAACAACACCAAGTGAATAGTGTACTATGTTAGAGATAACATGACTGTCTTCTTATTTCACATTCTAAAATAAACTGATATTTTGTAAACACCATACGAAAAACAATTATATTTATTTTTTATAAGGCAGGTACTCATTAGCTTTAAGGACATAACGACGATGTACATGTTCGAGTTCGAAGAATATTGTTACATAAGGGCTTTACAAAGATAATCAATTATGGGTGATTCGAAGTAAAACAAAACAGTTAAAAATGAGTTAATTAAGAGCTAAACAATTTTCGGAAATATGGTTTAAGGTAGCCATCTGAATTCATTAGTTTAGTAATCCCGTTCTAATATATCCAGTATAAATTCCGTACATTCTACCCGACCTTGACCCGTTGTAGTAACAAATATAATGACAGTGATGTAAAAAGTCGGGAACAGAATGTTTTAGAAATATTGTATTTCAGACTATCAAGCCGATGATGAATGTAATTGATCCGATGTAATATGGATACCAATTTGAAATGAAACCAATTACAACTCATTAAATGAGTTTATTTATTTTTTATTTGAACACATAAATATTGGTAAAGAATGTGCCAAATATATATGCGCCACAAAAAACAATGAGAATTTAAGGGGAAGGAAAAAAAAGAGAATAATAACGAAGCGAATGATGTAAGGTGGTGTAATAATAATAATGATAAAAATGGGGGAACGGAAAGGTACAATCAGAAAAAACCTTTCAGGTAAGGGAGACACAACCATTTTTTTTAAGTAAAAGAAGGTTACAGCAGGATCGCCACTGGCTTTTATTCTGAGCCATATTTGATAACGTCTCTAGCCACTGTGTTGCACCATCTCTCAAACCCCAGCCAGGGAGTCGTGAAGGACCAACACAAGCCAGTCCTCTGTAGCTTTCTTCCATACCCCGACACCATGTCATATACTGACCACCTCTCCGCTTCTTCCAACCAGTCCCAGAGTCGACAAATAATTCACGACGTGGAATTCTCTGGGACTACATTCGTAAAACATGTCAAATCCACCGGAGTCGGTGTTTGAAGATGGTGACATCGATTGCATTATCATCTCTCTGCCCGAAAACACGATGCCGAACCTCTGCACTACTAACATGGCGTTGCCACTGGATGTCAGCAATCCTTCGGAGACAGCGATGATCGAACACACAGAGTCGTCTAACGTCCTCAACTCAGAGAGGCCAGGTTTCACAAGCATAGAGCAAAACTGCTCTCACCGACGCGTTGTAGATCCGACCTTTTACAGCCAGACTAACATCACGAAGGTGCCAAAGATGACCCAGATTGGCATAAGCCGCTCTGGCTTTCAATATACGTGCATTGGTCTCATCACTCACACCCCCACCAACACTTACACAGCTATCTAGATACACGAACTTCTCGACTATTTCTATCTGCTCACCATTCAGGGTGAATACAAGATTAGAATCCTGCCAGTCTTGTAGAAGTACTTTGCACTTCGAAGGTGCAAAGCTCATACCGTACCTACGGACACTGATTGCCAACTGATTAAGTGCGTATTGCATGGCTTGGGCATTGTCGCACAGTAAGACAATATCGTCCGCATACTCAAGGTCGAGAAGTCTTTCTCCAGGCAACAGATCCACACCACCATTACTTACATTCATCAGAGCTGTTTCCAGAATGTCATCGATGACTAAGTTGAAGAGGAATGGTGAGATTGGGCAACCCTGCCTAACCCCACTGCTCGAATAGAACAATAAAGAGAGGTGGTTGTATGCCCTCACTCTGCCTGAGGTGTTTGTGTGTAGGGCTTTTAGGATGTTAATGAACTTCTCAGGCACACCCTTCTTCAATAGACAATCCCAGAGAACAGTCCTGTCCAACAAATCGAAGGCAGCCCTAATGTCAAGAAACACAACGATTGTTGGCCTTTGATAAGTATGGCGGTGTTTTAACATTTGGCGGAGGGTGAAGATATGATCAATACATCCTCGACCAGAACGAAAACCAGCCTACTCCTCGCGAGTCAATCTTTCTCGGGTTTTGAACAACCTACGAAGTATGATGGAAGCCAATAGCTTGGACGCAATCGGAAGTAGACTTATCCTCCGATAGTTGTTACAGGAACGGGGTGAACCCTTTTTAAAGATAGGGACAACTATCGACTCATTCCATGACGTTGGTAAACTCTCTAGTGCCCAAACTTTTGTAAACAATGTTGTCAGTTCCTTAGTTAGAAAGTCACCACCATCTTTAAAAAGGGCCGGAGGCAAGTCATCTGGGCCAGGTGATTTGTAGCGCTTCAAGAGTTGGAGTTTCTTGCAGACTTCCGCCTCATTTGGTGGATCAGTCGTCACCGGCCATGGAGGGCAGGACAGTCTGACCGATGTTGCCGGAGCAGCAGGACAGTTGAACTGCTCTTCGAAAAATTCTGCCCATCGTCCAAGACGTCGATGGATGTTTGTGATTGGCATCCCATCATCCTCGCGGATTGTTTCACTCACACCAGACTTCTTGCTGCCAGTGGCTCGGATGAGTTGGAAGAGCTTCTGGTAATTACCAGATGCAGCTGCTGCTTCCAACTCATTAGCACGCTTCGACCACCAGGCTTCTCGGTCCTTACGCAAGCTTTGCCCAATTTCCTTACGTAACATCCTTCGTTTATGGTCAAACTCACGGTCACCCGGAGTAGACCGACGGGCTTCAATGAGTTGTAAGGAACCTGCAGAAACCCAGTGCTTATAAACGGGACGTTTCGCAAACCCACAACTGACTGTACCCGCCATTTTCATGGCGTCATACAATTGCAACCCATACCTTTCGGTGGAATGGAGCTAGCCCAGAAACTAGCTCGGTTCGATACTTACTTGTAACAGAAGTTGCAACCAGCTTGCTAATATCAATCCGTTGATGGCGGTCACTTTGTTGGCCACTGAAAAGTAAGGTGAGATTGGCTCAGACCAAGGCATGATCGGAATCCAGATAGGTACTCGAAAAGGAGCGGCAGTCTTTTACACAACCACGCCAGCGGTAGCTGATCGCGATGTGATCAATCTGAGTCCAGGCTTGAGATGCAGAGGGAGGACGTCAGATGGCACATCGGCGATGACTGTGCCGAAAGTTAGTGCTAGCCAGAAACAGGTTGTTGTCTGTGCACATTTGCAGTAGACGGTTCCTGTTATCTGTTATGCGACCGACGAGTCCCCATCAGCCACCTGAACGACTCTCTTCTGTGCCTAGACGCCCGACCTGAGCATTCAAGTCTCCGGCTTGTACTACAATATCTGTCGAACTCACTTTATTGAGAAGAACGGTTAACTAGTGGTAGAATTCATAAAGACTTTCTAAAGACATAGTCAGCCCCATCTGTTGTCCAACCTGCATAAGTGTGCGAACGTTGAAGGCAGCCAGTTTGAATGGTGCACGTGGTTTCAGAAAAACTGCTTCAGTACTCATATTCGGTGGTAACATACACTTTTCAACCGGACAGTGACTCGAGAACGTTTAGATCGAGTCAAATTTCCACCAAAGACGAGCTGCTGTATAAGTCGAAAAAATAAGTATAGACAGAGTAGGAATAAAAGAGAGTGAATAATGTCGTAGTAAATAATAATAATAATAATAATGATAGTAATGATAATAACAATAATAGTAATGATAATAATTTGAATCATTTGATTGTTATCCGAAGCGAGAGAAGTAGTTTCCATAGATATAGAGAGTACATCATTTGAGTAAGGGCTATGATACTGCCCGGGTGCCCAGACCGAAGCAGGTGGTTATCTTAGGGGGCCACACCCCGAGCCTTTGACCTAAAGGTCTAACTCACAAGACAGTGAAGCATCGTAAGGAGATGCAGTCCCATGGTAGCCGGTGACCAAAAATTGCTCCATACACCATTTGTTCCCGCAGGATACTGGAGCCTATGTGCACCATTGATTTGGAATCCGGTTAAAGCGCCGGACATTCGCTTTTCGTCCTCTCATTTTCGTAAACAACACCCCCGCCACGAGAAGGCAATGAGTAGGACTTCTCTGGCAGAGGCTGTATACGCGTGGCCGTGTAGCACCATCTTTTACGGCTGGATGCGTTATTACGAACGATCACAAATCTGAAATAAATGAGTTCATCATAATAGTTCAGAACAAACAGACAAATCCGGAAGTGCTCCAAGAAAAATAATAAGTTAAGGGACCGTATATTACATTATCGAACGTATGCTCCACAGGCTGCTGTGCTTCCAAATCTATTTGCTCCTTGCACTACATTGAGGTTGTAGAGTGGCGTCAAGTCGAGGTTGACTATGAACATCACTGCAAGAAGGTTGCGTACCAGATATCAGAAGGCGATTGGAGGTTGTAGCGAGATATATTTGTTAGCAATCTCGTGGTATCGAACGAATACCGAGACCGTGCCAAAGGAGTACAAGCGGAATCACTGAGCAAACGTGAGTGCAAGGTCACAATCAACGGAAAGAAGAATGTCTTTAAAACACTTAAAAAACAGGTACAGTAAAACAATCACTGGTACAACTTGTTATAAAAATAATTGTTTCAAATAAGCCAATCGCATTTTCTTGATAAAAGTAGGTCACTAAAGGTCATTAGCTGGAGGGGTGTTTAGATGGGGCGTTACGTTGATGTACTCAGGCCGAATAAACTATGAGTTTGCAGGTTCAGTGAACAAAGAATGGATATGGAAAGGTATGTACCTTATGATCTTTAATGAAGGAATAGATAACTTGTATTACTTTCATTCGCTGAAAGTCAAGTCAGAGTTGTGCTATCACAGTGGTTGTGTAAGTTTACTGTCTTCACCAACCTCGTATTTCAGGTTAATACTATCTGCTGGGATGATCGCGGGGAGTATATTTTGTCGGGTTCAGATGACAGATGTATCGCTATTGCTAACGCTTTTTCACAGGTTTATTCTGTTAGCTGTATTAGTTTAAAAATAACGGTTTCTCCTTTCACTCAGGATTCTGAAGGTCAAAACGCCTATAATTTAAAGTTGCCTGCGTACAGTAACATTTTTGCGGCGAAGTTTCTCCCTTTTTCTTGCGGAAGCGAAGTAAGGTTCAAGTCAAATTTTTAATTACCGTAGATAGTTGTTGGCTTTAAATGCGGTTGTGTCACCCATGTTAATCCCAACTCTAGTATAAAGGATAGTCTCAAGAACATTTTCTGTCACACATTTGCCGTGTATGACGTGAGTTTAAGTCTATGAGTGTTCACTGCATTCTACTTTTGGTTTCCGTTTCCACTTGTTATTAATCCCGATAAGTGCCTTTATGTTTATGTATAATTATATCCCTGTTCGTTAGTCAGTGCTCCTATGAAAACCTCATTTTCGAAACAAGCTGTTCCACGCCGAGTAGTGGGAGTGCTAACTGTCGCAAGCACTACTGGAAATGGAACGCCTGAAGAAACTATTATTCCTTTTCGAAAACTACCTACTGTCTCGAATGGTAAAAGAGCATAGTAGTTTCTGTCTAGGTGGAAACGAGAATTCCTTTTAATAATCAGATAATTCGATTCCTGTCGATATGTGTATTTCTCACCACTGAGTGCTTTCGTTATCGAACACCAGCTCAGGTGGCACTTGTTAGTGTTGTTGCTAGACCTTAATTATAAAATATGAGCGAGAAAATCTATCAAGTGGTAGATAAAGGGCATGCTATTTTGATAAGATGTCTAGTCAAGTAGATCTTTTGAGCGTCTGTATAAGAGAATTTTATAGTCAGTGTCGTAATTGTTTTATCTTAGTGTCCAGTTTCAGTATTTTATATGTTATGAAGATACTTTCTGTCCTGTGTACCTATGATTGCGATTAGCTCACATTGCTAAAGCGTTCACTCAAAAAATGGATCAACTACCTCTATTAAGAGTACCAATAAAGCCAATTAGATTATCAACGTGAATGGAAAATCAGTTATTACCAACGAAACTTAAAACAAGATTAGGTAGTTGGATTTTAAACATACGATAAATTGCCTTGTTGTTTAGTTGACTAAAACAATATCTATTTGCTTTACAGATGTTTGATTTTATACCTTTTTACTTACACTATATCATGGTTGTTTAGCAAACGTTTTGGTGTTGTTTTCAGATTCTTACTTTGCAAGAAATGCCTACTTGCTTTATAACACTATCTCATGACCATTCAGCCACTCTTCTGGATACCAGAATCACCTCCGTGCACAAGAGTCCGAGTTGTAGTCGGGGATGCTTCAACAACACAAACTCACCATGGGTTTCAAATTTTTCTATTGTCAATCAGTTAAAGTTTCATTTTCCAGTGACTGCTGGTGATATCCATCCTTTGAATGGATGTCGTTCAATCGCGCTGGCAACTGCCGACGGTTTTGTACGTCTTTTCGATATTCGAAAGCTCGTTTCCACTTGTGAGTCCACTATTCAATTAGTACCCAATAATAAATCCACAGTCATTACCGTAATCCTTCATCTTCAGTCTGCATATACATGCTCAGTTACTTACTATATAGCGTCTAAATTCAGCGGAGCGTTGATTTATTAGTCAACGGGTTCAACTTTCGGCCACTACGTCCCAAGTTTGAACCTCTCCCCACCTTGCTTCCGTTTGTGCGACCGAGTAGTATCATTTCCCCTCACACTTGAAGTGTGGTTCACACCTATGTACCTGGTAAACCAGTCAATTTGATTGCTGTCTTAACGTTTGGCTAATAAACGTTTATAGCAAATCAAAAGGCAATATACTGACCAGCTTTCTTGCTAGTAATAACCTTGCAGACATTCGATATTATTAGAGAACGTTATTTTTTAATAGTAGTTGCGATTATCAAAGCTTGTTCACATAACTTTCTACTTAACATTCGTTTAACTACGGATCCATATTGTTTCAGTAACTAACGTCTGATTTTATAGTGTCCTCCGCAGCTGTGGGCGACCCACCTCAACCTATGCCATTTCGTGTAGCCAGACCTCTTGGTTTACCCGCGAAGATAAATTCGACCAAAACGTTCAGATTAGATTATGGACCAGGTCATATAACGTCAGTCAAGTTTGAACCTATCTATGACAAGGATCATACTCAGTTTTGGTTACCTATTGGCCGTAAACAGTCACTTTCGTCGAATCTTGGTGGGAAACATTTACTTGTCAGTCATATGTATGCCCCTATTTTCTTGTATGATCTTTGTTCAGAAGAAACGCTTAGCGACTCTGAAGTACAGGTATGTTTTTATGCAACAGTCTTTCAAAATCAATGTGAATTAACATACTTTTACTTGATTTACTTTCCCTCACTCTGTAAAAATACTCTTTACAACTCCTGGATTTATTGGGTTTCCCTCCAACTGTATAATTATCTCAGATCGTTGTAAGTAATAAAATGATAAACTTCACGGATGTATCATGGAAGTGGTTTCTTAATCAAACTTACAGACGATCTACTTCCTGTCGCATTTGGTTTTTATTTATTCAGTAACCTTTTCTACCGTAACGCTCTTTGTTTTGTAGCTTTGCGCGTTTTCAAATAGTCTGTTACTGTAGTCGTTCGATACTGTAGTCGTGCTCTTCCAAGGCACAACTTGAATTCAAGAGCGTCAGTAGATGCGTTAATGCTACATTGATATCTCCCTTTATAGTAATAAACCTGTCATGAACTATTAGCTGGCATTCATACGCCAATCTTTTAACTATTTATTTTGTTAGCGTCTAAGATATCATCATAGTGATTATTTTTACCTGGTAACTAAGTTATTTGATCATATTTAAAATCTTGGATTACTTTACGGTGCGATCTCTTCTATCCTTTTGGAAACATATATATTTACCAAGCAACTCTAAATACGAATGTCCGGCTTAAGTAAGTGACTTCGTTGAAAAGAAAATTTTCTTTGTTGAATTCTCTTTATTTTCATCCAACTAAATGACCAATAATTTTTTGGGCTGTTATTTATTAAAGCGACCTGATTGGCTACCGAATACGGATACATGCAGTCCATCATCGGAAACAGAATCTCCTCGCTCATCGGAAGGTAAGATTTCACACGAGATTTATAGATTTGGTTTCAATATTGGTAAAGAAGCCGTTAGTTTTATATATTAACTCTCGTATTACTAGCATTTATCACAAAAATATTTGGTACAGTTTCGTGTTATCCCGTCACTGTTACGATTCTCTTTGTATTCATTTACTTCATTTGTCACATAACTATAATAGTTATAATGCAATGGTAGCGAGGATCAATAAGTATGATAATTAAAGAGGAATTCAGTACTCACTATTTGAATATTGCAAGTCACTTCAACCGTTTTCCTACACCACATTGTTGTTCATGTATTCGAGTCCAAAATGGATTTCTCAATATGACACTCCGGTAAATAACCCTCTGTTACCGACTCGTATGTAAATGTTCTTGTCCGATCAAGTTGGGAGTAAAGGCCACTTGTGCTGATAGGAAGTATACAAGCTTCATTATACTTTTATATCTGAGGTTTCAGATTTGCATCCTGATAGTAATAGCAGTTACATATTGCTTGTGTATAATCAATTTGAACTCACGGTTATACAATGGAAAGGTCATGTAGGTTAGCTTGTATTAAACCCATTCAACTACTGTATTATTTGTTTGCCCACTGTAATTTAGATACTTAATACACTATGTAAATTGCTGTGTGAATCTGATTGAGCGCGTGTCTGCACATCATTCTTTAATCTATTCTCCCTATGGTTGTAACACACAAATAATCAATAATTTATCCACAACCAATTAATACATAAATATATATGGATTTTTAACACATACTCTATCGGTTTCCCTATGTGCTTGCTTCCTGCACACTTGCGGATTTTACCAGTCTTTAACAATAAACTGTCCCTATAACTCGTATTCAGGTATTGAATAATCTCGAGTAAATCCATAATCCTACTAGGAGATTTAGCGTGCGTTAAATACTCAGTTAACGGGATACTATTCATTGGAGTCAGATGTAGGGGAAATTAGCCTCTACAAGCTCACTTACCAAAGATTGAGGATATTGAAGGCAATTAAAATTACCCTACTGTTTACATAAACAAGAACAAATTAGCGTTTTAAATTTCCAAGTGTCCCTACTTATCTATGTTCTATACATGGAGACATTAAGAGTTTATTCTAAAACTTATTTTTGGTCATGGTTATTCAATAAGTATATTCGTTTGATGCCTGTCTGTATTTTATTCATCTTTATATTACAGTCTTCATAAATTATGAATTTTCACATAACTTTTGATCTGAAAGCCCACTAATCGTCGATGAAATTTTGTTTTTATTTTTGTTTCAGATAGCCTTATTTCAGATCCGAATATACGTTTAACTGTTGCTCTCTATCGGTAAGTTTCTTGTTACGTTGTTAGGTGAAATACAAGTTTAATTTCCTACTACTTCTATGAACTCTATTTTTATAAATTATGACGAAATCATTATACTATTTAATGTATTGTTTTTTTTCTATGAACACTATCATTGCTTACAACGTACAAAAGTGTGTTAGGGACGTTGTCGTATGTAACGTAGGATATTTCAGATTACCTTGAGGAGAAATTATTATGTGTACCTCAACACTTGTCCTCAAAAATTTCAATAACTCAGGATATAAATATGTGTTTGATTTCTGTAATAAACCCTCTATGTTCAGATCAATCAATTACTCTCACACTCTTGACTCCTTGTGTGTGCAGTGAGTAGAATACGTGGTTCGAAGAAACTCACTACCACAAACCCAGGGTAGTAAGCAAGTAGTCTACAGCAGGACCGAAAATAACAAACACTGACTTTAAATTTTATATAATCTGATCCATCGACAAATTTATATAAAGTGTGAAGGATAAGGTTCTCGAAATGATAGGGTTTCATCATATTCCAAGGCTTTTCATCAGCTGCTAACGGCTCAAACTTACATTTGTAATATTATTATTAAACGTTTTTCATACATAGCATAGTCATTGAAGCTGGGCTCGAAACGGCATAAGAAACAAGAGGATACATATTGAACGTAATACGTAAGATCGATTAGTATTTATGTGTTGAAGATGAACTATAAAGTCTAGTATAATGCTGACGTGTCATTGCTCATCACTATCCAGTAAAACATCCGTGATTGGATCAACTGATTTTCCTTCCATAACCCTTATAAAAATCCACCACAATTAAGTAGTGCGTCAGTAACACAGAAGTCAATTAGTAAAGTTATGGTGGGTAAACTGCACAAAAGGTTAATTTTATTACGAAAAAAAGTATTTTCATAGTTTTATGGATGCTTAAAGTTACCACACAGATCTCTGCTTTGCGATAGATAATTAATATGATGTTATATCTTTCAGATGGCTCACCCAACATCGATCCAGAACAGATGAAAACGCTGTGGATGAAGCATCGACTGAACCTCAAACAGTGTCTTCAAGTCCTGCCGAATCAACGTCTGGTCAAACTTATACAGGTATAATACATAAATTTATTATTTATTGTTGTTTCAGATGTTTTTTTTATTAGGGTTCGAAATGACAGATATGTTTCTCACTGTTTTTGGAATTAGAGTATTTAAATACCAACAATTTGTGAGTGATGTGATTGCGTAGGTACTTTTATCATGGTGTTATGTCTTCACTGGCCTTTTTGCATTTTAAATTTGAGTTGCAAAGTAGATTATTGGCATTTGTGTTGTTACGGTAGATTATTACTTTTTATGTTATGTCCATATTCATCTTCGTCAATTGTTGTTCTTTACTTTAGGCTCTCAGCGTGAACAAAAACTCCCCATCGATTACTTAACAGATGCATATATTTCTGACATCATAAATTCTTCTCCAAGATGTCGCGAAATAATGAAATATCGTGGTCGTGAATGCTGTAGTACTGTGGTATGCTGTTTTCTAAGTACATTTATTAATTCTGTTAATACTATTCACGTTTAGTTGTATGCTAATCCACTCCTTCAAATCAAATCTCATCCGTTATATTTGAATTATCCTTAACACTGAACGATATTGTATTATAAGAATATTTGTGTAGGATGATATTCAAGTTGTTTGAAAATTTTCATTTATCCCAAATCTTTAATAGATAGATGTTGCAAGTTATAGTTTGAGAGATCATAAAAATATCAGCCGATTGTTGAAGTGCTTTAATTCGTATGAATAAAGCGTATAAGTTCATATAGAGTTGAATTTTATACATTGCTGTAGTAAGATGTAGCTTTTGTTTATTTCTTACCACATTACTGTATTTCTAGATCTCATTACATTTTTCTAATCTCTTCAGATTGGGTTCCTGTCAAACTGTTTTATAAATTCCTAGCGGGATATAAATTATAGTGTGTTGGAGCACTCTAATTTGCCTATTTTTAGCTAGTCAACGTTAGCGGACAAGTGCAGAAGCTAGTGGGACTATGAATTATCGACGAATCAATAGGATTTAAGATAACAAGTCTTGAATTTCGGCTCAAAATTTATTCATGTGGTTAAATAGTATTTTGGTACTGTAACTGATATCAGTTCGTAATTAAAACTGTGACTATAATTCTAAAACAATAACTTGTAACTTCTGATCATAGGCCTTACACTCTCGAATATACCAAGCAGTTGAATTTTCTCAAGGTCACTTTGGCCTCATTCAAAGTTTGTCCATATATAGTCCCGCCGAGAAGACAAGAGTTTTTTGGTTCAAAAATAATTAATAGGTCAACTTTTTTCTTATTGTGTGAACTTAGCTATCTGCTTTTGAAAAACATGACAAAGAACAGGCGAATGTGTAGTTATTGCGAGATGTTGCAAGGCAATACATATACATAGCTTTCAATCGTCCATTTGCGTCTTCCGATATTTTCTGTCAATGCCGTACTTCCGCTGTCTTAAAACTGTTCACTCTGTTCGACAACTTTGAGGCTACGTTCGGCAACATACTACTTACAAGCAATGTTGTGAATAGCATCCACTGTATTTTGTTTTAGAATTTTAGTCTAATTGCATGTATCATGATTTACTTAATTTTTCTACTGATTGAGCCAACGGTTAGACATTTTACCTTCGTACATTATGTATTAGATAATTAAATTAAATTACCATATTTTATTGATTTACAGGTCAAAGTGTCAACATTTTGGGGGCGGAATTTTATTCTGTCCGGATCTGAATGTGGTCATTTAATTGCATGGGATCGTAATACAGGAAAGCCTGCACTTGCAATTAAAGCAGATACATCTGTAGTAAATCGAATTATTCCTCACCCTCTTTTTCCAAGTTAGTTAACATTACCACTAGTAGATTATGTTAGCGTGTAGTCTTGTGTCTTTTAATCTACTTCAAATGCGTACTTTAACAGCCTTTCCCAACAATAAATGTTTGTTTACTTTGATGTTATGACATAAGTTAAGAAAATTTTCTCTTTTACTTTCTATTTTTTTCGTGTAATATTTGTCACTCATACAGATTGAACTGACTCGACCGTTGTTGCTACCATGACGTGGTGGTCGGGCTTGCCTATCGTAATAAAGCAACCGAGCTATACTGGCTGGAACAACCGTCCCTCAAGGTCCTACCATGCCAGACAGGTCGGCTGAAGAGGGGTATGACTAAAAGCAACAATTCTAAGGTCCGAAGGCGAAGTCGTACTGCTGACTGTACAGAGGTGTGACGGCAGTAAGGTGTTTCTTTCAGACAACCAGCATGACAGCGATGCTGCCTTCCCACAAGGAGGGGTGGGGTTAGAAAAGGTTGACGCTAAAAATGCACACCTCGCCTTATCCCATGGATATCCGTCTCCGGCGGTAAGGTCTCAACAAGTACGGAGCTAACACAAAAATTACTCATAAAAAGGTTCTGTGACCGACCTCAAGCAGTTGTCCTTTGGGCACTGCGGTCACGCTCCCAGGTCACTATGACCACTTCTAATGCAATTTCATTTCAGGTAACTCCAGAAGAACCCTTCCACGGTGTGGGCAACCGGGAAGTGATAACCGCCCTCATACTTCTAACAGCACTCAAGACCACTGTATTCATAATCAACCTCCCTCTTCAATTCCTATTATTCCTCCAACATCAACTTTCAACTCTAAACTTCCTCTTTCGGCTTCCCCCTCAAGTGTCACCATAGCCAACGATTCTAGTGCGCAAAACACTGTCCCAGGTCTACTGAAACCTGGATCCCAGTAGATAGTCGTTTGTGCGCTGTCCGACTGAACGGAACAGTAAGGATCCGAAAAGATAGGGACACTCGTCGTTGCCTCTTCGTCGTCTCTGCCTATTCTCCCACTGACTGCAGCTCAGATGATGTAAAAGATGAGTTTTACAGAAAGCTCTCCGACCTCCTAAAAGTTAGGCGCTCGGATATAGTAATAGTGGCCGATGACTTTAATGCTCAAGTAGGTAAACTAAGCGATAGGGAAAGACACCTGGGTGGATCTTATAGTGTTGTGGCTCAAAGAACAGATAATGGCGACCGTCTATTGCAGCTATCCTCAGATAACCGCCTCTTTCTTGCAAATACTAACTTTAGGCATAAGGACAAACATCTTTTAACATGGCGACCCCCTAATTCGTCCCAACTTTGGACACAAATAGATCACATCCCTATCAGCCACCGATGGAGGGGGGCTCGATAGAAGACTGTCGCTCATTCTGGAGCACATGCTTAGGCTCAGATCATGCTCTAGTGCGAGCACATATTTGCTTGCGTCTTACTGGACGTAGGAAAGACGCTGCAAGGAAACCTCTTAGGGGCCTACTTAATGATAGTCAAGCTAAGAGTATATTTCAGGAACAACTAGGAAAACAGTTAGGCAGCCATGTAAGTGATGCCCACCCCGAGGAAGCGTGGAATGACACCCGAAAAGCTGTGGAAACAGCAGTGATGTCTGCAAGTACGGTAAACTAGAAGGTTAGGGAGAAACACTGGATCTCTGCAGCATCTACCGCACTTTTAGATGCTCGGAAACTCATTCCATATGGCTCTGAACATAACGAAGAGCGGAGTCAGCTTAAGCGCAAGCTGACAAGAAGTCTACGCAATGATCGTGAACAGTGGTGGGTAGCGAAAGCAAGAGAGATGGAAAAGGCAGCGGCAATAGGTAACAGCAGACAACTTTTCAGACTTGTTGAGGAAACCGACTGTTAACGAAACACTCTCAGAGAAAGATGGACATATTATACATTCTCAATCCAGGAGATTGGATCGATCGATAGGCAGAACACTTTAGGGATCAGTTCAACTGGCCTTCAGCCACACTTCGGTTTCTCACGATCTCCAGTCTACCTGGATGGCAAGTTAATGTAAGTCCTCCGACTCTTTACGAAGTTGAAAAAACCACAGGAAATCTGAAGCTAAGGAGAGCAGCAGGCCCTGACAGGTTTACTCCTGAGATTTTTAAGGATGGTGGTCCAGTATTAGCAGTGAAATTAACTGAGGTCTTAGGTGGAATTTGGGAACTGGACGTAATCCCATCTGACTGGTCTCAATCACTGATTGTGCCAGTCTATAAGAAAGGACAAAAGTCCTCTTGTGACAATCACAGAGGAATCAGTTTGACAAATATAGTGTCTAAAATATTAGCTTCAATAATACTTCGACGTCTAGCCAAAGCTCGTGAAGAGCAGACTAGAGAAAATCAGGCTGGTTTTCGACCTGGACGTGGTTGTATAGACCAGATATTCACACTACGTCAAGTTCTAGAACACAGACACACGTTCAGACGCCCCACAATGGTAGTATTTCTCGACCTTAAGGCGGCATTCGGCTCTGTTGATCGTAAGGTTCTATGGCAGTGTTTGTCAATGAAAGGAGTACCAAAGAAGTACATTAACCTTATAAAGGCTCTCTACTTGAACACAACTGGTAGAGTGAGAGCTCATGCCGAACTGTCATCAGAATTGATTACCTCAAGTGGTGTTCATCAGAGCTGTCCACTCTCTCCATTCTCGTTCAACTTTGTGGTCGACGTACTTTTAGAGATAACATTCTTTTCATCTAAATTTCCAAGGGTTGAACTTCTACCGGGAGGTTCACTTGTTGACTTAGAATATGCTGATGACATAGTTTTATTTGGTGAAGACGCTGACAAAATGCAGTCTTCTGACCACTCTAAGCAACAACGCAAGTATGTTCAGCATGCCATTCTCTCCCTCGAAATGCAAAATGTTGCTTCAGGATTGGGTTGCATTGACACCCGAACTAATGATAGGGAGTGAAGTAGTTGAGTGTGTCGACCGCTTCACTTATCTTGGAAGTCTCATCAGCCCTTGTGGTCTGGTGTGTGACGAAATCTCAGCACGGATACAGAAGGCTGGACTAGCTTTTACCAACTTGCGTCATTTATGGCATAGGCGAAATATCCGTCTATCAACCAAAGGACGGGTTTACTGCACAGCAGTCCATTCCGTCCTACTTTATGGCAGTGAAACATGGCCGGTAAGGGTAGAGGATATTCGTAGGTTACTAGTATTTGATCATATGTGTCTTCGAAATATTGCTCGTATATCCTGGGACCATCGAGTAAGTAATGCAGTTGTTAGGAAACGGGTACTAGGTAAGGATGGCAAATCAATTGGTGAAGTAGTGAAACTTCATCAGTTGAGATGGCTGGGACACGTGTTATATATGCCCAACGACCGACTTCCTCGACGTGCGATGTTCAGTGGTATAGGAATAGGTTGGAAGAAAGCTAGGGGCGGCCAGACCAAAACATGGCACAAGTCCATGAAGTCACTGACAAGTGGACTGAGTCATGTTGGTAGGTGTAGACTACCTGGTTGGGGACTGCGAGATGAGAGCAACCGATGGTTAGAGACCCTGAATGGCATGGCTCAAAATCGTTTGCAATGGCGCAGGTGCATAGACTCTTTGTGTTCTCCCAAATTTTGATCTCCTTATTCCTCCTTGTCTCTTTTTCTCTCTTCCGAAATTTATTTCACTGTATTGTACTCTTTAAGTAACATCTCCAAACACTAATCTTCCCGATTACTGCTTATACTCTTATTACCTCTACCACTACGGGATTTGAATCGACCACTGCATCTCTGTGCTAATGTGGTTTGGCAACTCGAACTGATGTACGTACGTACGATGTTCTACGTTGTTACTGACTGACTGACTGTAGGTGACATGGCTGAGGATCGATCACAATGGCGTCGGTGTACACACTCTCTGTCTTCCCTTAAACCAAGAGATTAAAATCGCTTCATATCTTTCTTTCTACGCACTGAATCTTTCTTCTTGTACTATGCCCTTATATTATAATAATAATAATAATAATAATAATAATAATAATAACTTTATATTCTGAAAAATAATAATTACAGAATTCACGCCAGTTTACAAGCATGATCAATTTGATATAAATAATAACGTTAGGCGTGCAGAACAAACATGTAATATATATATGTAATATATATATATTACCACCACTGAATTAATTACTTCTATGAATTCGGTGTTCATTTTTTCGTACTAATGCGATATAGCAACTTGGACCGATGCATATTTGTGCCTGGTCCTACGTTGCAGCTGACTGAAATTGAACTGAAGACAGAATACCTACTTGTATTTGTTTATTTTGTTGCTCTTACAGTAATATTTTAATCTACCAATCGTTTAACTGATTTAGTGATTGCTGTCAGCGGAATTGATCGGTCCATAAAAATAATTGAACCTGATCCAAATATATACGAACAAAGTGATGTTGACGATGGTGATGACCATGGTGAATCAGCGTTTATGAAAGTAGTAAAACAACATGAAGAAGAAGCAAGTCAGGTCTGTTGAAATTCTTGTCTAACTTTATCAGTATGTTCTGCACAGATAGACAAACACAAAACGAAATTACTGTATGATGTTAATTATTTATTGTTATATGTTAGGTTGTGCTTTCTAATCACTCGTAACGAAAGTTGAAAATCTAACCGAATTTTAATTACTCGATATTATTAGTTACTAAAATATCCGGGTTCGGAAGGAGGCCGTATAGTTATTTTGTATGGCAGTGCAAAAAAGGAGCGAAAAGTGTGAGATGATTTCCCGACTCATCAACCAAGGGAAGAGAAATAAACATAAAAAACTAAATGATTAGTTTGGAAAATTAGAGTCGCTCTTTCTTTTATAACAAAATGACAGACTTACAAACAAAGTCTGTAACTTGGTTTGACAGAAAATCTACAAATTAACGTTGCATACACTCATAGAAAACTTTAAGTCTCTTACTGACTGTCAAAATAAGAGTAGATTTTCATTTTAGCTGACGAACATTTAACTCACTAAATCATTTGTTCATTCGTTTACTAATTAATGTTATACAGTTATGTCAAGCAAATGAAATAAGAACAAAAAAAATGTTAAGTTCTGGTAATAATCACTTGGATAGTATCGCACGTCTACGAGCTGGTCGTGGTGAGTGCAATTTTTATTTACTTTACATCTATCAAAACTAAAGGCATTTATTATTTCACTATACACCATATTTTACTTTTATAATTGGCATCACGAACTGACTTTAGACAACCATCGTAAACCAGGAGCACAGGACAACTGTTCCTATTATGGGGCTTCGTTGTAGTGTATATCTACGATTCCACCAAGAATCAAACGCAGGACGTTCATATCTCGCGTCATTTCAACCTTTAAACTATTCAACTAACATTTTGTGGTTTGCACGTCTTACGTCAATCAATTCACGATATTCTACAACCATCTTTCTATGCTATCTGTAGTTAACTGCTTTACACGCAACGTAGTTGAACTCCACTGATCATGTCTTTTCACTGGGTGTCCGAGAAATTATTTACAAGGGAGCAGATAATTATGATTAATATAAGGGTCGGAAAAACTGTCCAGTACTTCATGTTTCTCAGTGTATTGTAACTAAGATCACTTCATTATGTATATTATAGAATTCAGCAATCTGTACAAACCTCCTCTGCTAAAGTGTTCGTAGACTTCTCTTGATTCAAATGTGAATATCGTGATATATCTCTCATCCTAAATTTGAAGTAAATATCGAACTAGTATAGTATAACAACTATTCGAAGAGCTGTCTTCCTTCTTGAAACAGCTTCAAATATAACCCCTGTTATCAACCAACTTCATAATGGCCTTCTTCACTATATCTCTGCTTCAATCAACACTGTATAATCAGTCAAATAATTACTATTTGTCCTACTTTGTCTCGGAGTATTGTAGTTCCTAATCTCGTAACCTCATTTTTGCACACCTAATTTCAGTGTTGCTGGTTTAATTGCTTCACTGTATATAGAAAATAAATTTGAATAACGTACCTACAATTTTGTCGAGATTTCTGTCTTCAGTCATCTTGCAGTTAAACAACAAAATGATTATCACTAAATCAGAACTAATTTAGTCGTATAATTAAATTTATTAATATAATCAACAACATTATTTTTCACTGACCGTGATTAGGATTTTTCAACATCAGAATATCTAATAATATTTTCGCCAGTCGAGGTTGTATTTTCCAGTCTATAAATATTTGAATGCATTTTCTGTATAATACAGTGAATTCACAGTGAGAGATGAAACTATTCAATCAAAATGATTACAGTGGACTATATAAAGAGTGATCATCTTATTAGCAATAAGTGTTTATCACACTCTCATTTAATTTAGAAATATGATATATTAATACAATAACTAAAGCTGTGTAAAATTAATAATTTATCAAAATATCCTGAGTATTAATAAGTTTGTTGTACAGTGTTATCCAATATGAAACCTACTACTCGAAGTGGATATGTAACAGCCTTATAAGTTGTACTTTCACTCTGTATATTTGAATCATCTTGAATTATATATATATGGTGGCTCTAATAAGATGTACTATCATCCCAATATTTCTCACTACTTTACGATGATACTTTATGCTTCGTGGGTTTCAGTGTACTTGAATAACCTTTATGTTATCATTGTTTGTTTCCAAGAAGTCAAGCATCACTTTTATTAAACCTATATAACCTTGGGAGATGTAAACTAATATGTATTTCTGTTAATTAATATCACATTAATGACATTATGTTCTTACATTTGTACAGTTGCACGAATGATTTTACTACGGCTCGTTGAAGGAACAAACTCCACAGATTCAAGAGATACGGATACAAATACCTGAAGCTCGTCTGGCTGTGACTTTTCATGATTCTTGATCTCTGTGCTTTCAACTGACTTTTATTATTTGCCATTTATTCGGATTCAAATTCATGTTTTTGCGAATCGTCTGTGACATGCTTTTATCCTTTCTTTAAATTTCCCTTACCACAAAATTTGTTATTTAGTATTTCGTCAAATAGTCATTTATCCCTATAAGAACGACCGTATAGTACAATGAAATTATCTCTGTTTTCAATTCCCAAGTCATAAGTACGAAACTAGCTAGCTACCTAGTTATGAGATATCTGCTGTAACTTGTGTGTGTGGGGGTTTCGAGGTAATCATGTGGACGGATGTTCACTAATAACACACTAGGCAGTACGACCGTCTTGCATCACTACAGACATCTTTATTCATCCTGCATGATTCTTATTGCTTTATAAACGAATTAGAATGATGGGTTCATAGAGCCCAATAGCTTCGTCAAGAACATGTTGCCTTCTTTAATTGTCCTTGGTGTATTTCTAAGATGCTCACTTAGAAAAACTTATTCTTCGAAACCATCTCACAAGGAGCCGTTTGGGTATCTGCTCTCCAAACAGATAAAAAGCAGATTGTTTTGAAAGCTTTCGAGGTATAAGGGATGTAACCGCCACTTCTGTTGAATTGTCGGATGCAGAAACCTTGAGACACGTTTAAAGAAGGACGAAGTGAAGTTAATCAGTCGTTAAAGTTATCTGGCCCTCGAGTTGTTCCTTTTCTTGTCCTAAGAAAACTAGACAATTGTGATATTTCCTAGATCACTGTATAGTTGCAAGCTAGGGTTTGGTTACGTGTTTTTTATTCAACAGGACTGTGGATCATACAGTTTTTCTAAGAACAGTCCAGAAACATTGTGTAGTGAAGAAAGCCGCTATTCCTATTGTGTGGATGGCGTTATTATCAGTATGAAGTTCTGGAAACCAGTCACAATATCTACTAAAGAGGCTGTCAGACATGTCCGGTCGATACAAATAACTAAGATTGTCTATGATGCCTCGTTAAAAAGCCTTAGCAGAAATAGACTTAGTGAAACACCAACCACAAACAAATATGTCTCTGCCGACATAAATACACGCAAGCTTGCAACTGATGTTAGCAAGGATTGGAAATATATATGGGAGATTGCATATAAGGGCATAGTACAAGAAGAAAGATTCAGTGCGTAGAAAGAAAGATATGAAGCGATTTTAATCTCTTGGTTTAAGGGAAGACAAAGAGTGTGTACACCGACGCCATTGTGATCGATCCTCAGCTATGTCACCTACAATCACCAACCATTCGACCACAACCAAGTAGTCTGCATCTACCAACATGGCTCAGACTAGAAGTTAGTGTCCTCAAGCACTGATGCCACGTTTTGGTTTTGCCACCCCTAACTTTCTTCCACCCATCTCCAACACCGTTCAGCATTGCACGTCGTGGTAATCGGTGTTCAGGCATACGTAACACGTGGCCCAACCATCTCAGTCGATGAAGACATACAACCTGATCAACTGATTTACCATCATTCCCTAATACCCTGCATCGAACCTCACTATTAATTACCCAGTGATCCCAGTAGACACCAGCAATATTTCTAAGGCATCTGTGGTCAAATACTAGTAGCTTGCGATTAACTTCAACTCTTAATGGCTACGTTTCGCAGCCGTAATGTAAAACAGATCGAACTACCGCGCAATATACTCGTCCTTTTATTGATAGACGGATATCTTGTCTTCGCCATAGATGACGTAAGTTGGCAAAAGCCAAACGGGCTTTTCGAATCTGTGCTGAGATTTTGTCTGACACCAACCCATTAGGGCTGATCAGACTTCCAAGATAAGTGAAGTTGTCAACGCGTTCGACTGCTTCACTCCCTTTCCTTAGTTCAGATGTTGATGCAGACCAGTCCTGAAGCAACAACTTGCGTTTAGAAGAAGAGAAAGGTACATTCCAAAAATTCTGGCATCGTTACTCAGTGCTACCAAAATACTCTGAATTTTATCAGCGTCTTCACCAAACAGGACTATATCATCTGCGTATTCTAAGTCGATAAGTGGACCACCTGGATGGAGATCAATACCCGAGAATTCAGTCGACGAGAATGTTATTTCCATCAGTAGATCTATGATGAAGTTAAATAAAAGTGGAGAAAGTGGACAGCCTTGACGGACACCACTTGAGGTTGAAAAAGCAGATGACAGTTCGCCATAAGCTCTGACTCGACTAGTAATGTTCGATTAAAGAACCTTTACAAGGTTTATGTAATTCTGAGGTACGTTATTCAATGACAGACACCGCCACAGAATCTCGCGGTCTACCGAGTCAACTGCTGCTTTTAAGTCGAGAAAGACCACCATTATCGGACGCCGGTAAGTATGCCTGTGTTCTAGAACCTGACGAATGGTGAATGTGTGGTCGATACAGCCACGACCAGGTCTGAAGCCAGCTTGATTCTTTCGTGTTTGCAGTTCACGAGTCTTAGTTAGGCGACCGATAATTGTCGAGGCTAATATTTTAGATGCTATATAAGTTAAACTATTCCTCTATGGTTGTCACAGGATGATTTTGTTCTTCTCTTATATATTGGGACGATAAGTGATTGTGACCAGTCAGATGGGATAACGTCCAACTCCCAGATTTTAACTAAAATATTAGTCAACCTAATCGCTAAAATTGGACCACCATCCTTAAAGACCTCTGGAGCCAATCCATCTGGACCAGCTGCCCTTCCTCTTTTCAGATTAACTATAGCCTTTTGAACTTCTGCTAGAGTTGGGGGACCTACTTCAATGTACCACTCACACTGTCTGGGAATGGAGGGTAGTTGTAGAGTAGCTGAAGGCCAGATGAACTGTTTTCTAAAATGTTCCGCCCATCGTTCTAAACGTCTGGACTGGGAGCAGATGAGAGTGTCGTCTTTTACCGAGATAGTCTCACTTACATTCGACTTATTAATTCCGGTTTTTTTATTAGCCTGTAGAGCTGTCTTGTGTTCCCTATAGCCACCGCCTTTTCCATTTCTTTTGCTTTCGTTGCCCACCACTGCTCACGATCGTTTCTTAGACTTTTTCTTAACCTAGATCTGATATTTTGTCGCTCTTCCTCATGTTCAGAACCTGATGGGACGAGTTTGCGAGAATCCATCAGTGTGATAGACTTTGAAAAAATCCATTGGTGCTTTGTAACACTGTGGTTTAAATCACTAATAGATGTCACTACTGGTTCCACAGCTGATTGCATATCTTTCCGAGCAGCATGTGGGTCAGCCTCGTTTTCAGAACTATCTAACTGTGACTTCAGTTGTTCATGGAACTTACTTTTTTTCTCGTTGTTCAATTTAGTTCTAATGGTCCTTTTTAATGCGGCTTTTTGCGTGCAGTGAGGCGCAAACAGATGCGTGCCCGTATTAGGGCGTGGTCGGAGTCCAAGCAGGTACTCCAGAATGAGCAACAATCTTCTACCGACCCTCTCCAAAGATGACTGATGCGTCAGCCTCGTTTTCAGAACTATCTAACTGTGACTTCAGTTGTTCATGGAACTTACTTTTTTTCTCTTTTCTCTGTGCATGAAACATGTACAGACTTTGAATATTTGTAGGTAGATAGCATAAGATTAGACGTTGTATGTTTGGTAATGGTCAACAGGGAAATCTACTACTACTACTCGATCATGTATGGGTATTTATAATTCCCGCCTTATATTTATAACATTTATATTACTCTATTTGTAAGCTTTTGTGAGCCTTTGAAATCCCTTAAAGAACAATATCTCAAGCAATCAAGAATCAGTGTGAGAACTGATGTGGCTTCTAAGTAAGATCAAGCGGATGTTGTATTGTGACGGATTTACAACATACTAGATCTGTTATTCTATTGGCCTGATATCGATTATAGACGTGGAAATGTTAAAGCTAAGTACGAAGCAGTCTTGTCTTCAGCAGACAATTATGAAAGGTCAATTAAAATTTTCCACACAGCGACCATCGTTCGATGGTAGTTAGTCATGAAATATTGGGTGTTGTACACGTTGTTTGAAAATGCTACTTCTTAGGTCTTTTGGTGAATGAAACGAATCGTATTGTATGTTATCGTGAACATAATGCCTCAACAAATTACACTCATCACCAAAGTTTGTAGCTGATTGCAAAGTAGATTGTATCTTGTGTATCTAAATACTGTGGGTAATGTTATCATTCAAAATGTTTATTGATGAGAATTCCTAAAGTTAATTGAATTAACTGTGAATATATTATGCTAATATATATTCAAAAAACGTGATCTTCTTTTAGAATTTTTGATTTGTTTTTTTCTCCACTCTAAATCAGTGTCATATTTGTGGTTATTTTACAAACTGTTTGTAAGTGAAATCTTATAAATTGTGTAGATATACATTTTTAGATCGTTATCTCAGGTTATCTTTTCCTAACAAACGAGTATTTACCGGTTATCATTCATGTTAACTTTCTGTCAAAGATAGATGATTTCATTCTTGTTGTCACAACGGTGTCGTTAAATGGAACGTAGCTTCCCTATGTTTCACATGTGATAAGACGTTTAAACATATATAAATTATTAGTAATATTTAAGTTGATAAATTCACTACGTTTTAGGCCTTATAGGAAGAATTCTTCATATTTTATCTCTTTAACTTTCTGCATTGATGGCTTCTGACCATGTTTACTTGTAGTTCCATATCCAGTTTTATGTGTTGAAACAGAAGGCCGATAACCTGTGTTAATTCTCTTCTGGTACATTTTTTAGTAGCCTGATCTTGTTTTCAACAAGAAAGTTAGAGGCATAGACACAAGTTTTTTTCCGTGTTCAAGTTTCAAGATAAGATTCGGGCTAAGAGTGTTTTTGTTAGCTCTTTAATTCTGAACTCATATCTTATATCCTCTGAATTGAACTGAACAAGATGGAAGAAAAACGGATGATATATCAAACCCCAAATCATCTGTCATCGTTCCTGGCATCATATCTAAGTCTACTCGCATTTGGCCATAAGACAAAGTAAAACGGTTTAAACATTTTGTACTCGCATTGTTTTGGGAGGTCCTTATATTCCGGATGTGAATGAGCAATTATCCTTCTTACTTTATATAAAAGGTTGTCAATTAAGTATTAACCAGTGGCTTTTGGTCTAAACAAGGTTTTTAGTTTGATATCACTTTAATTATATACACAAGTTTGAACATGTTTGTATCAAACTAGGTCCACTTCCGTCTTAAAATCCGCAAGTTTATAGTTTTTAATAGCAGCTGAATACCAAATAGGTTTAATTATATGGTTAAGACTCTCTAAAATCTATGGATTATTGTGATATGCGCTCGAAAATTCCGATAATTCGCCCTTGTTATAGTTATTTATTTCAACCTATCCACCCTGAAGATTGACATGCTAAACCATTTTGTCAGAAATCAATCAGAATTTAGACTACCTTATCAGTAATTTCATATTTGACTAGGAGGCACATGCATGTGTATTTTTTGTCACTTTCCTCAAGATTTCGACTTGATCATTGCTAAGAAGCATTATAAACGTAACAGTACGTAAGATTTTACTTGCACAGAGCATGTATAGTAAGAGACCTGGAACCTAGCCTTGTGTTACTCCACTGAGTACTTGTTCCCCAGGGGATCGTTTGATGCCTGTTATTTTTTTCCACTGTATCTCTCTCATAATGTCTTTGGTTTATGTTGGTAGAAGACCAAATACTCTTAAAATTCTCAGCACACAAATGAAGACTGTCACACAGTAACCAGCAATTACTTCCGCTTGGTCTTGTTCCTCCCTTGCCTCCTGACATTTACTCACATCGGTAACCGAGTTACCGTCCCAAAGAATTCATTGTACTGTTATCGACATACAACATTGGTCTCTTTCATTGTTTGTTTGTAGTTTGAACAAATTCAGTTTTGTATTTTATCTGAGCAAGATGAGTTGTGTTGATACATTTACTACGACTGACGAAGATGTCATATATTTTTTTTACTTTAAACACAGAAGTGGTAGTGTTGTTTCGTCTTTGGAAATGTCCAAGGCTATCTTTATATTTGTCTTCCATATATTAGGACGAATCAACTAGTCCGTTTGGTAAAGCCCTACAGTAATGACTCTGACTATGATGACTGTGTAATCAGTTGTTCTTGTAAACGAAAGACGCTTAATTTGGCTAACATGATCGCCATAAGTGAAGGCTGAGTCCGGTACAGAAGATTGTCTATACCTAGAGGGATATACAAAAAGCTGAAACAAAGCTTGATATTTGTTCGACGTATTTAGAATAGACCGATATTTTTCAAAGTCTGTAGCTGACAATTGAATATATTTCTTTTGTGTCGGAATTTACCAGGTATTTTGCAATTAACACCACGAAAAAATAATTAAGAAACGTAAAAATGTGTCGGGGCAACAGTGTGTTTGAATATGAGTAAAGGTAAGGGTAAGGGTAAGGCTGTTGCCCAAGGAAGGATGGCAATCTGACGTCGGTTCGTTTTTTGATATAGCTCCAGTGCCTGACTTGAGGCCTTAAGTCGGTAACTTTTAACCAAACTAACAAGATCACTACTGTAATATGCATATGTGATCATTCATTCCATGGATTTATATACATACACATAATAAACAGTTTTGCAATCCTGCATCGCCTTGGTTCCAGCTGCTCTGAACAAAGAGGTTAACTAAAACTTTTTTGACACTTAGTTTTAGGTGATACCAAAACAGAATAATATGACTCAAGAAAATGAAAGAATGAATCCTTGTGATATAGGTAACTCATTAAAATGTTACTAAAGAAGATAATATATTTCAAGATGAAGTAGAAGTCAGTTCGGATACATCTGAAAAGGAGGCCAAAGAATCCAAGACACACGGATCATTAGAGAATTTTGTGCCACAGATATACCGTGCTAAATTCTTCGGAAATACTTCCGTCTCTGAGCCTCGTGGTGATTTTATTTGCGAAAGCTCACTAGGATTACTTAAAACTCAGTTGCTTACATCAAAATTACACAAGAAAAGAATTAGGATACGTGTAGACACCAGTGGAATTAGTGTTATTGGTTCACGAAATTCGGTAAGTTGGATTGAATTTTATAATACATGCAGTGACAGTTTTGTGTGTAAAAAATAAAATGTGGGAATCGGCAGATGTTTTTGAGGTCCAGCTGCAATTAACTATTATCTTTTGAAAACATATATTTAGTGCCACATATGTCTTTGAATGGATGCCTTAATTTGTATAAATGTATATCAGTATCCAGATACGTATCGAAACGTTTTGTATTGTAACGATAGTAAGAGTGAATGATAGAGTCTACACTGAGTGATTTAATCACTTTTCGGATTTGAAGAACCAAATTCCATTACTCTTACATTATTCTCTTACCCAGAATGTTTCTTGAAATCTCAACATAATTTGTACGAATGGTTCAACAAATTGTGCATGCAAGTAATACCTTATTGAGTTCAATAATGCAAGACTGTAATCAACAACACTTATTATTTAGATGGGGATATAAAGTTGGAACAATAAAATATTTAGTGCTTTATTATTCAAGATTAAAAGCCACATATTTAACCCATTTGTAAGTTTGGTCACAGGATGACTGCTTTAATATTTCTGCAATCAAACTATAAGTAACTGATATTGACATATCGAACCGTACTTCAGGTCAACATCTGCTCGAACAATAACAAACTAACTTCTGTCGACTACTATATATCATCAGAATTCTTTGAGTTAAAATGGTGGCAAGGACTTGCACTACCAGCGCTGGCACCGTTGATTTCAGTGATGTTTACGATTAACTGGTCTGTGATCAGTTGGTAAATAAAGTTTGATTTTCCTTTATAGTCTTCAGTTAAGGTAATCTAGAGCACAACTAACAAATTAGACCTTAAATTGTCATTTTATACATGACGTTGATTATTAATTATTGTCGACGAAAGAAAATCCTAGGAATTCAACTACTTTTTATCCTTAATTACTTGGTTTGGCTCCCTGAAGATTAAGAGACAGAAGACCTAAATAGTAATAATCTTAACAATAACGTCTTATACATGAGACGATTAATTTATGGTAACTGTTGGAACTATTTAAAACTAACAATTATAATTCAATAACGATCAAGTTATTAAATACAGTTTTGAGCCAAGTAAGCAGTCAATGTTTTTTTTTTTAGATTTTATACTCTAGACACTTGGAAATTCACCAGACAATAATAACTGTAAAAATGTTAACTCACTTAATTTAGAATGTTAGTAAATCAGTTAAACCTACGACACTTTAAACGAATACAAAAAGCTATGATAAATAATATACAACCACTAATGATACATTTACTACACGATTTACAATAATGAAATCTTTTAATTTTATGGTCATCTCCGATCGATTGATACAGTTTTACTAATGAACGTTTAAAGTTAGATTTCATTGATGTTCATTATTAAATATAAACAATCACAACTAAACTGGCTTCCATTTTAAAATATACTTATATACTTATATATTATATATATATATATATATATATATATATATATATATATATATATATATATATATATATATATATATGAATATTTGTTCACATTAACATATTAAATTTACAAATAAACAGCTAAAATATCTTGAATGTATATAACATAAATATTTTGAATTGAATTTTAACTAAACACAACAACATTTTTTTTCTCGTCCTGTTGTGTTTCTCTTTGTTGTTTGTTTTTATTTTCATTTCAACATTATTTCAGACATTACATCATGTGCATAAATTTGAAAATATTACATTTATTTGGACTGACCCCTGTGATTTACAATCATGTGGAATTATAGTTAAACAACCATTAATTGGGGATAATATTCATCAGTTTTATGGTTATAAACTTTATCAAAATGTAAGTTTAAATGACTCATTTATCGCGTTTTGCTGTAATAATTTATTTACAAAATGAATGAAGACGAGTATTGCTACTATCCACTTAATTCTATTTAATTCACATTGATTAAAATTATGGTTATTTAGCTTTATGATACAAGTTATTGAATAAAATATTCCTTAAATTTATTTAAATCTTTTACAGGGAAGTTGTATAAAACAGAGGAAATATTTTCAGATATATCAGAATATGCAATCTTTAACTGCGAAACAAGGAAATGAAATTTGCGACATTTTAAACTATATAATAGTAATTTACTGTAGAAAAACAAGAAATATCATAGAATGCTTTTAATTTAAACTTATATAAACTGTGGAACAAATGATTCGATCCTTGTTTTTAGTCACTTTTCCTTGTTTCGGATCTCATATAATCCTTTGGAATTGTCTGATAAATAGTTATTGTTCGTTAATAAACCGAAGTCTTGATATTAATTGTAATTTATTAGGTTGAACGTGTGTGAAAACCAAGATGTTTTTAAATAAATTAGTACATTTAGGCCTATACGGTCATTGCTGTAAGATGTTTTTTTCTCTGTGATAGTGATGACTTAATGTTTATAAAGTCACACATCTTCTTTTACATCACTTGTTTCTCAAAGGTGAGTTGTGTCTCACAACAGTGTAAACATTTAGCAATTTATGAAAATAAAAACAAATGATTGTCTTTACTATTTAATTTAGGATAATCTGATCTTGTTAATAGTTTCCAGGATTCACGAAATGCAGAATTTTGTTTTAATTTATAAATTAAAACCTCCATTTAGTCAAATCCTTCTTCATTCAGTATTGAAATTACAAAAAAGAGAGACATCCTAGATTAAAATTTAATCAATATAATCAAAACGGAATGCATCTGTAATTTGTTTGAGTAAGCATCAGTTAAAATAATTACTCATTCCTCTGCATCTCGAAATTCATAACATGTACTGACAGAAACCCTAGAATAGAACTCATACAAAGCAGAAACATATTTCCATGCTTATATCGGAATGTAGATACTGTGTAACAATGAGTAAGATTTCGCAAGATTTTAAAAAAATTCTTAGTAATTTTGATTGATTCACATTGTTTCTTTCATTATCTTTGGTGATAACTATTTCTCAACCATGCTATTTCTTTATTTAACTTTCAGTGGTTATCATTCATTCACATTTACAGTGTATGCTGATGGTATTAGTAATAAAGGTGAACCTAATTGTAGCTCTAACTTTTTATACAATTGACAATATTGAGCCCTTGTTCTGTTAGAATGCTTATTATGACAAATGATTAAAATTGAATATTATTATTTCTCCACTGAAAAATAAAATATTCCAAATAAGTTTTTTATTAATTTAGAGTGAAGTATCTGTAGTGAGTGGATTAATTGATAATATCATAAGTACCTCAAACTTGTACATCAATTTTATAAGTAAAAGCAACACATCAATTTCAATATTAAGTGTATCTGTGTAAAGTTACTATGATAATAAAGTGTAAGTGATAATGTATGTTTAAAACTCCACCAACAAATGCATTATTATTTTTATTTTATTTTCTTTGTCTTTTATTTACCCTCCATTTTTAGACTCCGAAGTTGATTGGTGTGTTAAAGCACATCTATTCAAATCTTGAGTTACTACCGCCTAATGAAGTAATGAAAAGTATTTATAATTTTTTTGAATAAACTTTGATTATCTATTTTCACTTCCTCATCTATTATATGCAGTCGATATATTCTTAAAAGTTCCTCAAAGATAAAATAACAAAACCGATCAAACATGATAAGGGTTATTATAAATGAAATAGTCTATCGTCGTACTTGTAATAAACCTACTAATTTACCTTGAATACTTTTAAAAACATATTTTATTCATAAACGTCTATAGTCAACAATAAATAATTTTGGGTTACTTTAATATCTTGGTTCTAGGCTCTTTGACAGCTATTTCAATTCTCTCAACAAACTAAAAACTTCTGAATTTAAAAAAATCATTATTTTTTCAGTTTTTGGTAGTAAAACCAATAACACTAATTTAAAACATGAAGTAATTCACTAAAATTTTTAAAGCCAAATTTATAAACTTCGTTAACCAAATGTCACCTACAAACTAAAGTAAATAAACTTAAAACCATATGTCAGTATGTTCAATACTTAATCAGTAATTGCTAATAAAGCACACAAAAACATTCATACAATACTTACATCTAACAGGTTATTCCAATATAAATAGTTACACAGCCTCAATAAACTAACTAAATAAAGCACAATGTTATTAGTCTACACTATGATTAATGCATTTTGAATGCATTAACTTGAATCTGTAATTCGTTGATCTAATGTAAGTTTTAAATATTTTCAGTACACAATTCTCTACTCTCTATTGACTGAACTATACTATATAAAGTACTCTAATTTAGTACGATGAATGTTTTCTATTACAAAAGTTAGTTTGGTCAGTTAACTTCAAAAATAGGGCTTATGTAATAATGAAACAGTTATACGATCTCAAGAAATAACCATTTGTTCTCAAATACAAAATAAACAGTGACAATCTTATCAGTTAACAGAAAACATTGACTGTTCATTATTGGTTGTATAATTCAATGCACTCCATTGTTTGCATGTAATTCACTGTTTATTTAAAGTTGCAATCTAGTATTTGTCATATGGTCACACTTTTATTCCATGTCACACTTCAACTGAATGATTGGTTTTTAGAGTAGCCTCTTTGAGCTCTAAAATGATAGTTTACACATAAGGTCAAAGAGTTATAACATAATTCCAACTAAACCTTAATTCTGATTTATAATTTCCTCTTGACGTTTTATATCATTGATTAATATAATGACATTTACTGTTGGTAAAATTTATAAATATAAACTTCAAATTTAAAAATGCCCCAAGACTTGTAATAGTAAAGCGCATCATCAATGAAAAGCCCTATGTTTGTTCTGTATTTTTGGCAAACACAAAAGTTAACTGAAACCATTAGTATAAAGGAGCCCCATTTAACAGGTTTTGAAATTTAGGCCTATGAGAAAAGTGAACTTATGTATAGTCACTAATCAGTGATGACCAACACAACGACTACTACTGACCATGTTGAGAATCGGTTACGTCCTCACACTGACCAATACATTTTGGATAATAAATAAAACTTAAAGGCTATTTACCAACTAATATAACAAAGCCTCCAAGTTAAAGCAAGTTTTCAGGTAGTTCGTCAATTTACCATGTACTTAAATTCCTAGGTAACAGGCAATTAATAAAAACGTAGATAAACCTTGTATGAAAATGGTGAAGAAGCATAGCATCAAACCCCATTTCTCCACAAATCAACACGATGCATCCAACAATGTAACAAGGAACATTGTGCTATCGTATCACAGCTGAATAACCTGACTTGATTTCATTATCTTTAAGGTTTTTTAGACACTAATTTTGTAATAATAGAATTTGCTGGCATCGTCATCTGAACACTAAACGTACATAATCAGGTTTGAAGCGGAAAGCTATTATTGTCTGGTGAGAACTATTTATTGACGAGAACGTTTTTGCGTTGTGTAATGTGGATTCCTTGGGTCGAGATTTCAACACAAACGAAAATATTACATCAGACAAATTCCTCGAATATATTAAAAATTTATATTTTTGTTGTTGTTCACTTTATTTACATTTTGCGCTTTACTCTAAATTATGTCACACACAATTTCTTAGGACATATTGAGTAAATCAGAACATTCTACGGATACCAGGATTTTCGACACTACCGAGGAAAATAATCCTGATTTGATTCAGTTAATAGATATTAGTGACAACACTGTCTCACCACACCGAAAAAACGCTGACAATGAAAATATTCAAAAGCAATACACAAGTAATGGACACAACATTCCGTACAATAAAGTAAGTTCAAGCAAAATGAATTACAGTTTAGATGACTTTAGTTATCCTACGTCAGTCTGACTGTAGCTTTTGACGCATTTAGGATACTACAGTAAAGTTTTGTATAAGCTTTTATAAGATAATTTAGTTATCAAGTCCTCAAGTTAAAGAACAGTTAGATTATTCACTTGACTGGTAATCTGAACATTGCAAAATAACTTATGAATGAAATTATAATTAATCACGAAGATTACTCACAAGTTAATCTACAAACTCTGTAACATTTCGGAACAATGATATCAAAAGAGACATTCCCCTTTTACAACTAGAAAATACTACACAAGTCTTTGGTCTATTTATAACCGACTGAATCTTATGTCTTTCAGAAATCTAGTGTAGTTGAATGTGTCAAAATTTGTTAAGTTCTTTCATTTCAACCAAAAATTATTGAAACCAAGAAGGAAATGTTAATTTAAGTCAATTATGGTAATTTACTGATCGATAACCGTGATGATTGTAATTACATAATAGATTCTCTGCTGGCTTCTAGTCAAATATGAAATCAGACTTACTGAACAAGAAAAACTAATTTATAATATGTTATCGTCACCATCGCTATTTTATAATTACCAAGCCAGATATTCTGCTCACTCTGTGCTGTATACTTTTTTATAATCACTTGCAAACACTTTTGGTTCTAGTTCGAAACTTTTGAGGATATGTTATGCCACAAATTATGGTTCTGTTAGAAGAAGTTCGTCATTTCGGGTTCTTACTTTACTCTGTATTATTGCTTCCACTAATGACTAGCGTCTAAGGAATACCACGTTGAATGGCGTCAGCTATATAAAGAAAAATATTTTCACACTCACCTAGTAATTTTTGCAGGGCAAGTTCGGAGTGTAAACAAGCCTCTACGTTACTCCATCTGACCGTGAGTGATAAGATCGGGGACTTAGTTTGGTCAAGTGCTTCAGGTCAACAATAGTTAATGGTCATTTGAAAATTAAATTGAGAACTAAGGTCTTGTGAAATACACGACAAGGAAGGATATTAGACAGAGATGGCAATGTTTTCATGGAGGTGGGTAAAACAACTGGATATACTTCAGGTTACCTTCAGCCGACATCGTCTACAATCTGTAGGCGTGCCATCGATAAGAACGGCAAAGTAAACATGTAATTATTCCAGTCTTTCTGCTTCTGCCTTGCATAATGGTGAAAGGCGCATTGAAATTTTTATCGTTCACTGCTTTAAAGGGCGTTGGTTGACATATTATTTGATATTGTTATCCGTCTATGGCTGTTAGACGCAGATTTTAGCAATAGTTTTCCTTCGTTTGATACCACAGCGGTTGAACTGAAACTGGCGAAGGTTTTAATGTTTTTCTCCAAAATAATGATAATCGGAATAGCTTAGAGTAACCGTCATCTTCAGGAGAGTTGACGCAGTTTGTTGCTTAATACTACAGACTATATGGTTTCTGTGGTGTCTTTAGGCCCGCTTTTTATCACGTAATTTATTCGCCAATTGAAATACGATTTATTCGCTCTTGTACTGTAATAAACCAATGACGTCCAACCGGTTTGATCAGCCTAGCGTTCTATTGGTTTGTTGCTCGTCTAGCCCGTCCAGTTGAGTCCAGAATGCCAATAACAGCCTCCACTATGCGAATAATTTGTTTCAGACATACTGGGTTTATTTATCAACCAAACAGACCGCAACGCACCACAAAATAGGAAATAACATTTATACACAATGAAGACAAAATGTGGCTGTGAACGTGGGAGACAGTAATTAATAAACTGTGTATAATTTAAGAACAGTAAATCGTATAATAATATATAGGTCAAAGGGAAGTTTATAATAAGATGAATATAAACATACACATTCTAGGTACTGAATAATTATACAACAAGAATGTATAGATAATATTACTTCATTAATAGGTCTCAGAAGTTACTCGTCATTTATACTTCGCTAGTATACAACAGTTTCCATGAGACGTCTTTCCGCCTGAGTGTTGTTAACTTTTCGAGTTCTTTCTCTTGCTTAAAGCGCAGCTACATAGTCTGTTATCGGGACATCAGCTACGATGTAGCTTTCATGTATGTATGATTACTCTCCCATGTACCATAATAAGATATCTGCACGTTCAAAATCCTCTGTTTGTAGATAATGGATAGTGAAGTTGTATCCTTGGAGTGGAAGGACCCAGTGCTGTAAGTTCCCCGTAAAATGAGGTAGTACACAGAAATATGAACAAAATGTTGATAACAGGGTTTTATGATCTGTAAGGAGGGTGGGTTTTTTCCTTAGATCAGCTTGTTGAACTTGTAAACCGCAAATCCTAGTGCTAACTACTCTTTATCAGTTTGCCCATATTTCTGATTGCTTCCTTTTACTATACTCTACGCCTTCAGGACTGTACGTTTTTATCCGTTTGGAAATGCGTGTAGTGATACGACTTCAATTTCATACAACTATATGTCCGTAGTTACTCTTACAAGAATATGAAGGTCATATAAGGTTGGAAATTAGTAGGACTTAAAGCAGGTTTTAGCTATTTTGATGTATTCCTGAATTTATTTAACTCAGTTCACGGAACATTGTTTCATAGTTACTAATTTAAAAAATAACTCCGCCTGTAGCTCTTATAGGGTTGCTGCCGGTCCCAAGCCCGGGTAAAGGAGGAGGGTTGGGCATGGGGTTAGCCTCCCCATCCCGTAGAAAACTAACTCGCTAAAAAAACGCTTACCAGAAAAAATAATCCAAACCATTTTAACTCTGCCCTGGGAGTTAAAAGGTCTTCATTTAGAAGAATTATGACGCTTCATGGTGAAAGCCGAGTTCCTTCGGAAGCCACGAGGCCGATGCCCCTTCTAACAACCAGAGCAAAAATATTTATAGGTACATGGAACGTTCGAACAATGTGGGAAACCGGGAAGACCAGTCAAATATCAATGGAAATGAGGAGATACAAATTGGCAGTACTGGGAATCAGCGAAACCCACTGGACCCAAGCTGGACAGAAAAGGCTAGCTACGGGAGAGATGCTGCTATACTCCGGTCACGAAGAGGACAATGCTCCACACACTCAGGGAGTCGCTCTTATGCTGTCCAAAGTAGCACGAAATGCACTTGTAGGATGGGAATCTCACGGATCCAGAATCATCAAAGCATCATTCAAAACAAAGAAGGAGGGGATCACAATGAATATTATCCAATGTTATGCACCCACTAACGATAGCAACGACGAAATTAAAGATCAGTTCTACGAGCGGCTGAAGTCAATCATTGAGAAATGCCCAAGAAAGGACCTAACTATTCTGATGGGAGATCTAAATGCCAAAGTCGGAATAGACAACACTGGATATGAAGATATTATGGGACGACATGGACTGGGAGAAAGAAACGAAAATGGAGAAAGATTTGCAAATCTATCTGCATTCAACAAATTGGTCATAGGAGGCACAGTATTTCCGCACAAACGCATACACAAGGCTACATGGATCTCACCGGACCACACTACAGAGAACCAGATAGATCATATCTGCATCAATAAAAAATTCCGAAGGACAATGGAAGATGTGAGAACCAGGAGAGGTGCTGACGTAGCTTCAGATCACCACCTAGTTGTAGCCAATTTGAAACTGAAGCTAAAAAAGAACTGGACAAGTGGACAAACAGCACTACAAAGGTTCAATACAGCCTTCCTTCGAGATACTGACAAACTCAATGAATTCAAGATAGCTCTCAACAACAGGTTCCAAGCCTTACAAGATCTACTAAAAGAAGAAGAAACTACTATGGAGGACAACTGGAAAGGCATCAAGGAAGCATTAACTTCAACGTGTCAAGAGGTTCTGGGTCTAAAGAAATACCATCATAAGGAATGGATCTCTATAGAAACACTGGACAAGTTCAAAGAAAGGAAGAACAAGAAGACAGCAATTAACAACAGCCGAACACGAACAGAGAAAGTCCAAGCACAAGCGGAATACATAGAAGCAAACAAGCAAGTGAAGAAAAGCATTAGAACCGACAAGCAGAAATACGCGGAAGAACTAGCAACGACGGCCGAAAAGGCTGCAAGGGAAGGAAATATGAAACAGCTTTACGAGACAACGAAGAAACTTGTAGGGAAATACAGTAAACCAGAGAGGCCGGTCAAAGACAAAGAAGGCAAGCCAATCACCGAAATTCAACAACAGCGTAACAGATGGGTAGAATACTTCGAGGAACTCCTGAATAGGCCGGCTCCAATGAATCCACCGAACATCGAAGCAGCACACATAGATCTTCCTATAGATGTCAATCCACCAACGACGGAAGAAATTAGAATGGCCGTCAGACAAATCAAGAACGGGAAAGCAGCGGGACCCGACAACATACCAGCTGAAGAACTGAAATCAGACATCGAAGCAACCACAAGCATGCTTTATCTTCTATTCAAAAAGATTTTTGAGGAGGAACAAGTGCCGATGGACTGGAAAGAAGGACACCTCATCAAGATTCCAAAGAAAGGAGATCTGAGCAAATATGAAAACTACAGAGGCATTACGCTACTGTCAATAACAGGGAAAGTCTTTAACAGAGTGTTGCTGAACCGGATGAAAGACGCAGTAGACGCCCAAATTCGAGATCGACAAGCTGGATTCCGTAAGGATCGGTCGTGCACAGACCAAATTGCAACACTACGGATCATCGTCGAACAATCAGTTGAGTGGAACTCATCACTATACATCAACTTCATTGATTATGAAAAGGCATTCGACAGTGTAGATAGGAGGACATTATGGAAACTTCTTCGACACTACGGAGTTCCTGAGAAGATTGTCAATATTATCCGGAATTCATACGACGGACTACAGTGCAAAGTAGTGCATGGAGGACAGCTGACAGATGCATTCCAAGTAAGGACCGGAGTCAGACAAGGCTGTTTACTCTCTCCCTTCCTCTTTCTTCTGGCGGTCGACTGGATTATGAAAACCTCAACATCTGTGCATCAGTAGGCCTCAGCATACACAAAGGGAAAACTAAGGTCCTCAAATTCAAAACGCAGAACAGCAATCCATTCACTCTTGATGGCGAAACTCTGGTTGATATGGAATCCTTCACACACCTGGTAAGCATCATCGATGAACATGGAGGTTCAGATGCAGACGTAAAGACGAGGATTGGCAAAGCAAGGGACGCATTCCTACAACTGAAGAACATATGCAACTCGAAACAACTTTCAACCAATATCAAATTCAGAATCTTCAATACCAACGTCAAGGCAGTTCTACTGTATGGAGCTGAAACTTGGAGAACTACAACAACCACAATCAAGAAGGTACAAGTATTTATAAATAACTGTCTACGCAAGGTACTCAACATCTACTGGCCGGATACCATCAGCAATAGCCTTCTGTGGGAGAGAATAAACCAACTTCCAGCTGAAGAAATTAGGAAAAGACGATGGAAATGGATAGGACATACATTACGCAAATCGTCAAACTGCATCACGAGGCAAGCCCTGACTTGGAATCCTGAAGGGAAGCGAAAAAGAGGAAGGCCAAAGAACACATTGCGTCGGATAATAGAAGCAGATATGAAAAGGATGAATTACAACTGGACGAAGCTAGAAAGGATTGCCCAGGACAGGTTGGGTGGAGAATGCTGGTGAGCGGCCTATGCTCCTTCACGAGGAGTAACAGGCGTAAGTAAGTAAGTAAGTAATTTAAAAAATACTCAAAGTGGTGAAATGAGGAGTAGCAGTTTATTGTTCTTCTAATCGGAGAAGAAAAACATTTTCATAAGCTTCAATAACGTTCTACTTCGCTTCCATAGGTATTCAAATGCTTTTGAGACCACAGAGGATATTGTTTAAGTATAAAGAATCTCTGAAGATGTTAGCCAGAACTGTCCTCACCAACTATTAGAAAATAGATGCTGCTGTTTTTAGCCAATTGATGGTCGATTATATTGGAGTAGTCCCAGATGTGTTAACCATTAGTTAAACCCGAGACTTGTGTTATACTTTCATTTGGAATTTCGTTCTAGCTAAGTTGAATTAAGCTAAATATCTTCATTTTTTGAGGACAATACTAAGTTTATTCGAGAAATACATAATGATGTAGTGTAAGGTTTGAATTCGGTTTAGTGGGAAGCTGAGGAGGATTCTAAGTGAACTTTTTGCATTCTTTATCACAACTTCTGGGGTTGCTTAACCTGAGGATTACACATGAGCGATGACGCCTTGTTACTCAAATTTCCGCAACTTGACAGGAACAACAGGTCATGATGAATAAGAAACTGATTTTTCAAGGTATTACAAAGTTATGTTGCTTTTGGGTGACAGAAAGAGTCATTTGTTTATGTACAGTAACCAAATCTTACATTGAAATCAATTAAAAATTCTTTCAGTAACGATGATAAACTCCAAGGGGTTATTGACCGAATGTCGTTGCAGGTTGAGTTAAGTGATATGTCTCTCGGTAAGAAACCACACTAATCTAGCACAACAGGATTTGGTTCTATATCGGTTATATAGAATCTACTATTAGATACCTGTACGAGAAAACAAATACAATGTCGTAATTCCATAAAAAAATAAAAGATAACCACCACACTCCATACTAATGTTTTTATGTCTTGCTTACTTCTGGGTTGTCGAGTTTTCTTCAAATTTTCTGCGGTACTACTGTGGTCTTTGAAGACTGTTTGATACTTCCGATTGTAATGATAATTAAATAAGTTGTCGTTAAATCCATCGATATGCTCCCGATTTGTCACAAAAAATCTTGGCTTCATAAGTTAGTAAAGAGTGTGTTCAGCTTATAAAATCTATCATTGTATTCATGAGATTCCATTTCCTGCATTAATGTCATTAATGACGGTACGATTTGACTAAATCCCATGTATTGCAACAACAGTCTATAAATGACTGATTTCTCTTCATTTCCCTGACTTGATGTTAAGGTATAATTCTGTGGATCCAGTAGCCCCGTAAGTAAAACTATATTCATTATTAAATTAAATGAATTTAGATACCAGATGGTTGAACGGAGTAAATAAAAAGATCTGAAACAAAGTTTTGTGCCATCTGGTATTAATTAACTTAGAGAATCTGAATTCTTGGTGAAAGTATTCTAAGATGTTCTACTTGATGAAACATTCAGAGATTTTATTACTGAGGTATTCGAATGCTTTAGTGACCTAATCGCTCGGTGGATAAGAGGCTCAGCTTTCAATCATTAAGTCTTAGGTTCAAATCTCCGCTACACACTTCGGTTTAGGAAACGGCGTGATATCAATAGCTTTTATACTTTCGATGTAGCTCATATTAGAGTACCTAATGAATAATTTAATTACCAATTGTTTACTTTACAAACTTGAACTATTGGACTAGACCAGAATAAATAGTTAAGTAAGAGTATACTGAATATTACATGATGACAAATTAATGACGTTACATTTCATGTAGTATAATGCACGATATTATACTACCTCAAGGAAACAAAACATTTTATCATCATTTCTAATATTATTGTAAATGATTATGATTTTTAGTGCCATCACTACTCCATAACTAAGTAATTTGTCATATTTCAATCAAATTTCAGTAAGTTGTTTTCATTTATTTACTTTTATGTTTAAATTAATATTAAAAGGATGGTGAAAAAAACTGGATAACTTTCGATGATCATTTTGAAAACCAAGGGATTAGCTGGGAAAACTCTACACCTAAAAATCTAATGTCTCAAAATCTTCATAATCAACCATTTGGTAACAATGATCTACATTTCTGTAAGTTAATTACAATTCACATATAATTCTTAAATTCCATATAACGTCTGTATCTCAAACAGTTTTTATGAATTTGAAGTGTAAGCTACTCTTGTTTGATCTAATTGATTAACAGTGGTCAAATTTACCGGAATGAATCTCAGATTTATAGTAAAACATCGTTTTACCAGTTATATTTATTTATTTTATGTGAAATATATTACATACTATTTCTACACTAAATAATTATGATTCTCAGTAAAATCAGTATTCCAAGATTAACTAATTTGATTTCACTTTAGTGTCATACCATATTTCGTCAATAGAATTTTTCAGTTAATTTGTAGTGCCTGGTACTATGTCAAGCACATATAGGTTATTCTAACTTACAGACAGACCAATTTATTCGTTCTCCGAAAGCCACATTTTGACCTTGTTAATTATTTGCTTATCGATCTTAACTGATTTTATGTGAGTGTATGTTCTCGAGTTTCTTATCTTACCATATATCCGTAACTTATTTTCGTTTGACTTTAATATCGATTCACGCTTGATTAGTAGGACTTGGCTCACATGCCTTCTCCGATCCGATCCGTTTCGCTTCGCTCTCTCCTATCCGTTTCGTTTCCTCAATCGTCTACCTGGATTAACGTATACCTGAAATAAATTTCTCCAACGTAACCTTTCTTATTACCGTTGTCATACAAACGTGGTTAGCCTAGGCAATATACGGAGTTAAATGGAAGATTTATATTCATAGGTTATTCATAAGTTCATTCAAATTGGAGTCAGATCAGCCGGCAACACAAAGCTTTCAAATCAGTTATAGGTATAAAATACGCATTAGGTTGTATAAGTAAAATATATTTCATTTACACTGATACAAAGAAGCATATATTTACAAACTATAAGAATAAACTAATGAAACGACATATTACTAATCACTGTTATAAATTTTTAAAAAAATAATAACATTCAATAATAACATTAAATGAAAACTTAACTATACTGGAAACAAATAGTACATTTCAATAATCATATATTGTTTGAATAATTTGCAAACTAGGAATATTATTCCAAACGAAAAACAATAAGCTGGTTATCTTAAACTTCAAATTTTGTATGTTATGACTGTATTTTTTCTTTATTCATTATTGAAAACTATCCAAAGATATGTATATGTTGTTTTCGAATAAGCACATATATTAAAATACTTATATTTTTTTATCAGAATGGGTTTTGTGGAGATTTTAGAAATTTCACTGAGGAGTCCCATACTAGGACGAAACGGCCGTCCAGTGCTTCCAGGTTTTCAATGGTGGTCTAGCTTCAACTGACTCATTATATTTTTTTGTCTTAATAATTGGTTATCAATTGAAGAATGGATTTTTTTCCTTATGAATACTGTAGCAAAATAAAATAACATTAATATAAGAAAATATTCTCATTTTGTACTTGATCTTTTCACCTATCTGTTTCTATAGTATATAAATATTATTATTCACAAATATATAAGTATTTGAACGAAGAATATTCTTTTCAATAATTTCTCATCAGGTTCTACAATTATAAATCCAAATTAATAATCCATAAAATTGATCAGATTTAAGGCAGAATACATCATCCATTGTTTTCTCTCTCTCACCCCATGTTGACTATATTTATTCGGACCATTTATCACACAATTTCATTTCGCTTATAAACTGATTCAAGTTAACACTTCATAATAGTCAACCCTAACATTAACGATCTGATTTGATTTTATATAACAAACAACAATTCTTGATTCACATATTACAATTTCCAAATGATGTGCTTTGCCTAAATCTGATCAATTTTATAGATTATTAATTTAGATATAAGATAATTGTAGAACCTGACGAGAATTTATTGAAAAGAATATTTTTCGTTCATATAATTGTGTTTGAATATAATGGGAATTTTTCAGCGATTAAAATATAAAAGTATTATTTGTTTAAATAAACATTTAAATAAAATTCATTGAAAATTCTTTAAACCAAAAGATGGAAAAAATCATTCATGAACAAAACTGTTAAATTTCATTATCAATAGATTTTGTCTAATATTAATAATTTTAATAGCTGAAATCATAAGTCAACTGAAACTAGACCACTATGGAAAACCTGGAAGCACTGGACCATCGTTTCATCCTAGTATGGGACTCCTCAGCAGTGCGCATCCACGATCCCGCCCCTGCACGATTCGAACCCGGGACCTATCAGTCTAGCGCGTGAGCGCTTAACCATCATACCACTGGGCCGGTATCCAACGACATCCAACTGCTGAGGAGTCCCATGCTGAGGCGAAACGGGCGTCCAGTGCTTCCAGGTTTTCCATGGTGGTCTATCTTCAATTGACTCATGATTTCAACTATTGAAGTTACTAAAATATCCACAAAACCCCTTCTGATAACATTACTAAGTTATAACATTTTCAAAGTATAAATATTATATGATAATTAGGTTATTTATACAGTTTACAATGTACTTCATTGTGAATTATATAGCTAAATTAAAATATTTCGAAAATTATTTGAATTTTTACTAAATACTGTCTATTTATTCATAATATTTAGTCTCACAAATCAATATGAATAATCAAATGTCCAAACATAATTCTAGTCCATTTATGGAAATGAATAAATGTACAACACAAAACACTCCGTATTTAAAGTCATATTCAACAACAGCTAATATTTGGTCAAATATACCACCTGCTATTCAAACCGTAAGTTAATGCTTTTATTTGTATGGTGGTACACATCAATATGGTCAATAAAACTCATTTGAATTTAGAACACTTAAAAATTGCATAGCCAATAGTGGTTGATTTGAAATGATTCTCATCGTTGCAGTCGATTTGTTACATTCTTTATAAAATTGCTTATTGATTGAGATATTTACTGATAAAATCAATCTTTGTTCCAAGTGTTATTGTTTTATTTATTAGATTACTTTTCTTTCATTTGATAAATATTACATGGAGACTTTCAAAAAAAAAGATGAGGAACATCATGATACACTCAGACTCTTTACACATTGTCGTCAGCCGAATTTAAACAGTATTTTTCGTAAATATTTGTATAAAACACAAAAGTACCAAATTTGATTACAATTTCAGTCATTTCAGCTTAATAATATTTAGTCTAATTTGATTATTTGGATATATCCACTGGAATTAAATATTGATTAGTTTTAACTGCCTTTTTATTACATTAATTTAACAGTAAAACTGCCTAACGAATAATTATCCACTGTCTACGTTTCTGGTAATGATGTGCCAAAAAATGTAGCCATTCAATATACAACTAATGTTTTATGAATACCAATACGTTACCATTTACTATCTACTAATGATTATGAATATGAGAATTTTATGAACATGTTTGTTGAGGTAACACAACAATCTACTGGTACCATTTAATAATTTATATGACTTTCTATTAAGATAACTATCTTCGAATGTGTTTAATCCTAGAAAGTTAGATCTTTTTCTGGAAAGTTTTACTATTCACAAAAGGTTTAAAGTATATTATACATGTTTATTTTATACAATAAAAATATCATAATTTATAAATTTACAAACTTCAAATAATTCACTGATATAATCGAAAATTATGTCAGTTATTTGGAAATATTAGAATGATTTTGTAGACAAAATGATCAAATTTCTACCAATGGTTTCGACATAATTTAAAGTTGATTACATATATATATAATTTGTTCATTATGTGTTGTTTGAATTTCTGATCGAATAGACTTCTATCATCTTATTAGATATTACCTTGTATTGTACTTGTAAATAAATAAAAAAACTGAAATATTTTGCCGAATAATATGTAAATTATTCATTCGATATTACTGCTTTCTTGTCGTAAACATTTGATATAAATACGTGATATATATATATATGTTTTATACATGTATAAATTCAACAAATTAACCATTATTGAATAAAAATTTTAGTATCATTTACTACATAGATTGGAAGTGAATTTGCATAAATATAAGAACTTATTTACTTTTATCTGAAAGTATATCTTGATAAATAAAATGAAAATACGAATAGTTCGAATAAATATGATTATTTGATTATTTTTTTTGGATGTAGCTAGTAAAAACTAGAATAATACAGTTTCAAATGATCAGTAAATCGTTTAAGAAAAACATCAGTCAAAAATATGTTTATGGATATGTCATTATAGATACAAATGAAAATAAATACATTTGAAAAGTATACTTTTACTTATATCTTAGGTCAATTTTATTGAGAGGAATTATGTTTATATGGAAATAAATGACAAAATTAGGATCTCAGAATAAGATTATACTACTCTCCAAAACATAAATATTTAATTCTATAATGAATTTAATACTCAACTTTAATTCCACCTAAGCAAAGTTTTTATTGAGGGAGAACGCTGAACACGTAGGTAAGGAGAAGGGGATTACTGTAATGGAGAGGTTTATAAATAAATATTATATATGTCTGTCATATTATAGCTCCAAAAATTATCATTACAATGATTGTCTCTTATTTCCTGATATAGTTATGTTAAGGATCTTTTCTGAAATCATATTATAACCTTGGCATTATATTTTAAATAGCAGTTCATTCCTCTCTTGTATTCTAAATTTTTGAAGCTTTCTATGGTATAGTATAGTAAAATGATTCCCCATCATCAATATAGGATACGATTACTTGAATTAAAATAAGAGTTTTCCATCTGTGTGTTTTAGTGATGGTACAGTGATCGTTTATGAGGAATATTAATCAGTTTTTATGATGCTAACATGCCGAATCTCCTAAACAATACACAAGTGTTCAATTAAAGATTATTAAATGAATATCCCGTTAATCTGATTTAAATGTTGTTTATAAAACACCTTAGATAAAAAAACTACTTATTTTGGGTTGTCAGTAAATGTTAAATGAGCATAAACGAATTGTTGATCGAGGACAAGTTCTCAAGTGTTTACCTAATATCCAGTGGTATCACTAACTGAGTTTTCGCAAAGCTAGTTTTTATTGCAAGGCGTTAGTTGTTACCATTTTTTCCTCCAAGTGAAAATAACTACTTGTTTGGTGTAACTCAGTTTGCGTGTATCTTGTTTTAATTCATGATAAAATATGTAATAGATTTTAGTTTAAGTATTCTTTGTTAATTATACTATGATTTTTATTTTAGTATAATAACATGCATTATATTTTCAATTTTAGACTAAAATATCCCCAATGGATGATAATTTTTGTAGCTGGACAACAACACAGCATATCCAAACTAAGCCAAATAATGTGTATACTAATAATAAAAATGCTACCAATAATCCATTTTATAATTTACCAGTTGGTGACGCTCATTTAAATGTAAAACAAACTTCTCCACTTGATACAATATTTGATATAAAATTATTTAACTGAAAGCACAACCTTTACTAATTTCTCATCATTATATATTCTTTTTGTTATTTATCCATCTGACAGTAAAAAAAGACAATCACATTTTGCAACTCCTCATTTTGATTTTTTTTTCGACGTAATGCGTCTTGGTCAACGATTTTTCTTCATTGTGATTTTTCTTTTTTGAAGAAACACTTTACAATTGGACACGAGGTTATATTTTCTAATGTGTATCGTTGAAAACCCAAATGTATTTACTGAATCTTTGACTGATAACTTTGTCACACTGAAAATAAACTTATCTTTCATATCAATCTGATCAGTCGATTTGTTTTCAGATTTATATAGAATGGTTAGTGATTAAAGTCCTAATACACATCAGTAAGTGATATTTGTTGAATTATCTGATTGTTACTACTTTTAAAGCTCTTTTCATATGTAACTTATTTCACAGATTAATTTTTTTTAAAAAAAACCTGATATAATTTAATTGGTTGAGATCATGAATTAATTCATGTTAGACCACCGTTGGAAACCTGGAAGCACTGGACGACCGTTTCGTCCTAGTATGGGACTCTTCAACAGTGCGCATCCACGATCCCGCACCTCGCGGGATTCGAACCCATGATCTCAACCAAAAACTTAACAATCTCCACAACCCCATACTGATAATTAACATGTGCTCACTAGTGACTAGCTTCGTGAGGGAATTCTCGGAGTTCTAGTGAGAAGTCGTGACCAGTGGAGCTAATCCGTGTTGGGTAGAGACAGGTATCTACCTCAGTACAATGGAAGGTGGTCGCGCGATTTCGTGGATTGGTTGATGTTAGACACTAACACCACTGGATGCCGGCTCGGTGGTCTAATGGTTAAGTGCTCAGGCGCGAAGCCAGTAGGTCCTGGGTTCGAATCCCGCGGGGTGCGAGATCGTGGATGCGCACTGCTGAGGAGTCCCATACTAGGACGAAACGGCCGTCCAGTGCTTCCAGGTTTCCAACGGTGGTCTAACATCAATTAGTTCATGATCTCAACCAAAAAATTAACAATCTCCACGACCCCATACTGATAATTTAATTGCGTAAATGTAATTAGTCGTGTTTCAATCTACCATTGGTAAAAATAGGTATTTAAGATAAAAAATTAGTTTACCTTATTATGTCTGACAAGATATGAACACTATTTTACTGAATTTAAATAAATAACTTTACATTCGTCTAATTGTTGAAGACTACTTAAATAGATATTTATCGTAGATATTGGGAATTTTTCAACAATGAGATTTTGTATATCTCTAGATACAACACATTTGACTTAATAAAAAGATTAAAAATTATTATTTTGAAGACTAGAACAAAACATATAAAAAACAAAGTTGTTTTCAATAAGATCTTTATCAAGCTTTACTTGAATATACAGTAACATTGAAATATATCGGAAATATAAATCAGTCAGTCCAATTTATGAGTTATTGATAATAATGAAGTAGATCATATAGTTAATTATGATTTGCAAACGATCGATCACTGAGTAGAAAATATATCAGGTCAACTAGTAGTAATAAGGATAATAATGACTAGCCAGAACGATTAAAACATGACATGAAATCTACTGTTGCTTACCATTTTCCTGTTAACTAATATTATTTATTAAAACAAAGTATCGGCTACCTGTTTTTGCCACTTCAGTGTGCATCGATCAATTCAGTTATTTCTGTGACGAAAAATAAATCAGAAATTTTTTCAATTAGTGTAACCAATATGTGAATGAACATCTTTTTGAATAGTTTGGATACATCTAAATAAATCCTATGCTTAGCTCTGTTTTATCATATTTGGTTGATTGTGATCATAAAATAGATAAGACAAAATCCACTGTAGTGATCTACCGTATATTTTGACGATAAGGATAAAACTACAGTTACTGACCATAATCTGTGATTGGAATGTTTAATTAACGAAAAAATTTAATTTAGCTGTCATTACGAGTTTAATTCTTACTCTGATTACTCTAAAAGTTGGATTCTTCATTTTATTCAGTTGGTCTATACTAATTTACAGATTGCAAAACTTAAATACGGCATAGCAGCAGATCGAACAAGATTTAGTCAGAAGTATATTGTGATTTCATTCCTTAACTTATATGTGATTATACTAATTAAGTAAAAGAATACAACGAACGATTATCCACCGATGATTTACTTTTAACAAAAAACTTGATAACAAATCTACAGTTTATCGTAAATGACAATCGCTATAATGTCTGAATCAACAGAAAGCGAGAAATTATTATTAAATCCATAATACTACCTGATAAATGCTCATTTTAAAAAAAATTTTAAACAATAAATTAGCTACATAAATACTGATGTTTATTTACATGATTTATCAACAAATTCCATTTAAGGTATTTTCAAAAATTTACAAAATATCCAATAAAATGTGGTGTGATTAAAAATGTCACTCAAAGTATATTTCACTTTAGACATTACAGTACGACAACAACCTCACTTTGACAATTTATTCGTGATTCCTTCATAAATCTTATAATTTAATAAAACAAAATAGATGGAATTTCACTTACAGTGGAATCTAAGTCTTGTCGGATGGATGTACCTGCATTCGAGTTGGTGTTCACTCTGGGACTCGAAAGTTAAGGCAGTTCTACAGTACGGAGCCGAAACTTGGAGAACTAAAACAACCACCATCAAGAAGGTACAAGTATTTATGAATAGCTGTCTACGCAAGGTACTCAACATCCATTGGCCGGATACCATCAGCAACAGCCTTCTCTGGGAGAGAACAAACCAGCTTCCAGCTGAAGAAGAAATTAGGAAAAGACGATGAAAATGGATAGGATATACATCACGCAAATCATCAAACTGCATCACGAGGCAAGCCCTGACTTGGAATCCTGAAGGAAGGCGGGAAAGAGGAAGGCCAAAGAACACATTACTTTGGGAAATAGAATCAGATATGAAAAGGATGAATTACAACTGGAAAGAGCTGTAAAGGATTGCCTAGGACAGGGTTGGATGCAGAATGCTAGTGAGCGGCCCATGCTCCTTCACGAGGAGTAACAGGCGTAAGTAATTAAGTAATGTTGGCTTTATAGAGGAAATTCTCACAGGAAGTGCATATGTCAACCAAAACTAATTTAATTTCAGTTAAAATTTCAACAATTCAAAAACAGGTTCAAATTGAATTAAAAACTTGATATTTGTCCAACTGACCCTAAATATTTTGGCTTTCAGTCAGCTGCCTGTTTACGACAAATTCTTTTTCATGATATTCACGTTTTCAAAATTCTCTGATTCCGTAAATCTTTTTATTTTACATTTGTTAATAAACTGTTTTCTTTGTTTGACCCCAACTTTCTATAACAACATTTAAGTAATGGCTAAAGTCATTCATTTTTAAATAACAGCTGTCACCATGGCATTTCAGTTGCATGAATTCAATCATTATCATAGTATTAATAGACTAGCGAAATAAATATATGTTGGACCGGAACTATTTGTTTTCAAAATTCATCCAAATAAATGAATAACAATGAAAGTTAACCTAATTATCATAATGTTCATTGTGGTGTGTGACATATCTCCTTTCATCATACGAAAAGTATATACCAACATCGATTTAGAACATGTATAAGCAAACAATATTGTTTTCAGTTAGATCCTCAACAGGTTTAACTGTGATATGCATCAAGATTTATATGCATATACAAAATTATTAAACCAATTAAGGTAGTTTATTAGTCAGTAGGGGGTTTCATCTTGTCTTTTACGCATGACAGAAGTCATAGGAATTTGGACTAACAATTCAGGTCTTTGTATTCATAAGAAATTTATAACTCCCTTAACTTCTTCTTTGGCTGAATAAGCCTTTAAAAAAGATTTTACTTATCATTGTTTTCCATACAATTTGTTTGTCCATTTTCTTCGACCAACTTTTTTCAAATATACGCTTGACTGTCCAACTATCTGAACATACCTTGTTACGTAATCTTATAATTTTTATGAATGTTATTTCAGTGTCTATATTTTTCAGATTACTGACCTATTTTCTGTTATGAAACATTGATTCAAGCTTTTGTTATTCTTATCAAAACTAACACATCTTACATCACACCATCAATTCGTACTTCTTACTTAATCTATTCTACTGTGATCATTGACTTATAAACTACCTTAATTGGTTCAGTAATTTTGCATATGCATATTAATATTAATGTATATCATAGTTAAACTTGATGAGGACCTAATTGGAAATAATATTGTTTGCTTATATATATTCTAAATTTTTTGTTCATCGGTATAACTAGATGAAGATGAGAATATATATATGTATATATCATCCTTTTGTCTAGATTTTGTCAGCCATCCTACCTAAAGATAAATTAGCGATCGTTACATCTAATGGCAGACTCGAACACGCTTGTGATTTTGCATATTCAAATCATGTAAATTTCAATAAAGTATGATAACATTCTCATGTTCATCTAGTTATACCGACGAACAAAAAATTTAGTATGAAGTTGGTGTAAGGTATGACTATCTTGCTCATTCGCTAGAATTCACTAAAATAACAAAACGAAATATTTTTTTGAGTTGTATAAATCTACCAACTCATCTCTGTTTTATGTTAGCTGATTATTGATTAGCATTAGTATTTATGTCCCGGAGCATAAAGCACCAACTGTTAGAAAATAATAAAGTAATTCTGCTGCATCGGCACAACGTCCCCCAACGCAGTTATTGCACTCATAATGATCTATATCCTTCGGTAAATTACTGAGAATTGTTATCTATGAGATAAAGTGCTACGTTTTGAGACACTCAGTGCTGAATTAAAATCTCATTTAAAACTTTACCATGACTCAAGTACACTAATTTAATCAATTCTAGTTATAACTTCAATCAATAAGACGTAACTAACTGTTGAGACCAATCTAAAATGTGTAAATTTTGTAGAAATTGGGATTCGCATGATATATTCGTTTTTTCACGATAATTTGACGAA